GCAACATATTGGCAATTTAGTTTTAATTTAGAACATAAAATCTCAACCAAATACAAAAAAAATTGTTTGCTTTTGATTAGTGGCCAAAAATGTATTTAAAATCATATATTTATTTTACTATATTAAGACGGTCACACTATTTAAAGGTGCAAATCTCACTAATAATAAACCCCTAACTATCCCTCAATAAATTCATAATTTTATGCTTATTAATAGGTATAAAGGTAGTATTTGGGGATGTAGAATATGTACTTGTGCATGAAAAATATTTACTATTTAATATAAGTAATAAGCAGTCAATATCTTATTAATAGGCAGGTAATAAGCCACTAGTTAATAGTGACAAATAGCACAAACTAAAGTGTTAGCGTTCATTTTTTGTGTTATATTTTCAACAAACCTGCATTATTTTATTTGAATTGTATTGTGTGCAGGTGCATATTGTTCAGCAAACAGTGTTTACAATGATATTTTTTTACCCATGCTCTTTTTCAGAAGATCAGGAGGCTAAAGACATGCAGAAGGAGGCACTGAACAGACGTAATGCCTGGGAGCCCAGTGTCTTCTATTCCCTAGGCAATGAGACCTTTTTCTTTACTGGGCAGGAGGTCAGCATCCGGGAATCCCTGGACTCTTTTGGTGCCGTCATCTGGCCAGGAGTAAGAAAACATATTATAGAGGGTTTGGGTTTAGGTCAACATTTCATCAGTTACCCGAATACCACGCCATGCTGCAGATACTCGGATGTTACAGTAATACTGAATATATTGTTGTGCCTATTTAAACCATGATAAAAAGCATGTGAGGCTGCTAAATCAAATAAAGAAGGACTTAGCCAGGAGGAAAGGGTCATAATTTTTGACTAACCAAATTTAATAGATGGTAAAAAAAATGCACATGTATGAGCAGTTTTAAATAAAACATTAGCTTAATATTTCACCTAGTTGAATGATAATGACAAGAACAAACATGAATATTCTCAAGATTCTTGCTCTGTTAAACCAGGTTCAGTTTGCCAACAAACACGAATCTTTCCTTAGTAGTTTTTCTCTCCTTTGCTCGATTTGTTATCATTTTTATTTTGTCTACATGTATATTAACTTTAAATGTTTTTTTGTCCAATCAATCAAAAAAAAAAAAAAAAACAAGACATGACATGACAATAAATGATCATTTTTCAGCAGCAATAATAACCATAATATAGGAGTTTCAGTCATTACAATGGCCTTGTTTAAATTCTGCTCTCCAATATGGCTGATGTGTTGTGAAAACACTCTTTGGCTGTCGCACTGTGCTTCACAGTTGATGCTAGGCTAGAGTTGGTAAAATGAAGATATGCAAAGCAGTGTTTAGGTGAACAAACGCATGTGCTGAATTTGTCCATTCACTGAACATCTCACTAAAATGCAATTAAAAAAAACATACATGGATTTTTTTTAAAAATTTTGTTGTATTTCGTTGAACAAACTCTCCTACTTCCTCACAATGCTCTCAAGAAATAGGAGTCAACACTTGATGTGAATCAAAAAAGATTGTCCTGGGACAAGAACGGGTGTTTTTGAACAGTTTGAATCACTTCAAATGTTGACTACTGTATATTTTGCCATTGTAAACAAACCTAAGATTAATGTTCAGGAAAAGTAACACATAACATTAACAATTTTAGCTTTGAGTTGATTTTGTCTTCTGTCTTTGTTCTAAGTCACATGAAATGAGCCAGCTACAACATGTCAGGAGTATTTAGAACAAACGTTACACAAAAGTACTGAAAACATTTAAAAGTAATGCCTACGGAAGAGCATACTGCGGTATTGATGTGCCCTTTCTTTCTAAAAAAGCCCCTACCTTGGTGTTTGCACAGACTGCATGTATAATTCTACACAGGCTGTGGCTCTCTGTCGGTATTTGGAGAAACAACGAGATCAGGTTGAACTTCTGGATAAAGCAGTACTGGAACTTGGAGCAGGAACAGGACTGGTGTCCATAGTGGGAAGTTTACTGGGTAGGAAATCCATACAATTTGTTTTCAGCAAACAGCAAAGTAAAAGTATGTTGAGTTATACAAGTTTGCATCTTTTCCACATCAAGGTGCCTGGGTCACAGCAACAGATCTACCAGATGTCCTGCCAAATCTGAACTTTAACCTGTCCCGCAACACCCGGGGACGCTGCAGGTACACCCCTCAGGTGGCAGCTCTGGTCTGGGGTCCAGATGTGAAACGTAACTTCCCCAACTCCATCTACCATTATGACTACGTTTTGTGTGCGGATGTAGTGTATCATCACAACTTTCTGGAGGATCTATTAATTACCATGCAGCACTTCTGCAGGCCAGAAACCACACTTCTGTGGGCGAATAAGGTCAGGCTTTAGATTTCTCCCATTTAACCTTGAATTTGAAGAGATAGTTCACCCAAAATTGACAATTCTGCCATAATTTCTTTCTTTTGTTAAACATACACAAAAACATATTTAGAAAGATATTGGATACCAAACCAGTAATCATTTCTTGGTAGTTTGTTTTTCCTACTAATGTACAATATGTCCAAAATTCTTCAAAATATCTTTTGTGTAACACAGAGTGAAAAAACAACGGTTTGGAACCACTTGAGGGTGTAAATTAAAATTTTAGGTGAACTATAACCCTAAGCAAACGTGTTAACTTTATGAGGTCTGAAGAAAACTTACAAATCTTGATTGGTTTGTTGTGTCTTTCCAAACAGGTACGATTCCCTTCTGACTTGCGTTTCATTGAAAACTTCAAAAATGTTTTTAACGTCACTTTGCTGGAAGAGATCCCTCAAGAGGAGGTACGAATCTACCAGGCTACTGCAAAGAAGTAAGTCCAAATGAGAAGAGAAAAAAATATTAACAGGACTCATAGCAAGAATTAAAAATAACATTAGGCTATATATGATCGCACATTGACTGAATCCAGAAACTCGGCACTGGCGGGAAAGCGCTCCACCTGTTGGCCATCTGCAAACTTGCATGCACTAACAGGAGCACAAAATGGGAATATCAAGTTTAATTTCTTGTTCATTAAACCAACATCTGATTAAAATATGTATGCTGTATTATTAAACTTAATAATGTCTTTTGTACTTGTTGTTATTGTCACAATGTTTTATCACTTAGTCTAACTTAAAAATAAGAAGTTGGAAAGTGTGTTTTTGAATTTCTTAAATGTTTGCTGAATTTTCTTACTGTCATTAAAACATTTTTGCAACAATTATGAGAAAAAGCCCAATCTTTCTAAATTGACACTACTGTGAAATTCCAGAAAATCGCAAATCTCTCTCTCTCTCTCACACTCACTCACTCTCTCACACTCACTCACTCTCACACACACACACACACACACACACACACACACACACACACACACACACACACACACACACACACACACACACACACACACACACACACACACACACACACACACACACACACACACACACACACACACACACACACACACACACACACACACACACACACACACACACACACACACACACACACACACACACACACACACAAAACTCCTATGCTATTTTCTACCATTTAATTGATTAAATGCAGAAACACAAGACACCTTTCATAAAAAAGTTAAATAAATTAGTAAAACTTACCAATCTCAATTTTTGGTTGAGTATGGCCATACACCCAAAACACTTCACAATCATGTGGGGGTCTCTCCACTTTTCCAGCAGTGTGCAGCATCCACTTGGATGATGCGACAGCAGCCACAGGTCAATGGCACCAGTGCGCTCACCACACACCAGCTATTGGTGGAGGTGAGAGACAGTGATAGAGCCAATTCAGTGTATAGGGATGATTGGGAGGCCATGATGGGTAAGGGCCAAGAGAGAATTTGGCCAGGACACAGGGGTTACATCCCTACTCTTTACGAGAAGTGCCATGGGATTTTTAATGACCACAGAAAGTCAGGACCTCTGTTTAATATCTCATCTGAAAGACGGCGCTCACTGACAGTATAGTGTCCCCTTCACTTTTTACATGGGCATTAGGACTCACACAGACCGCAGATTGAGCACCCCTCTTGCTGCCCTCACTAACACCACTTCCAACTTAGTTTTCCCATGTGGTCACCCATCCAGGTACTGACCAGGCTCAGCCCTGCTTATCTTCAGCAAGTAACCGGTCTTGAGCTGCAGGGTGATATGGCTGTGGCTCAAATGTAGATTAATTTAATGAAACGGTCACAAAAAAATAGCTAACAATCCATGTTAAGACCGTTTCCAGCTTACTGTTTCTCAAACAACTTTAAAACAAGCAAGCGTTCAAGAGACATCACTCTTTGAATGAGCATTTTTGATTATGTTTTTTGCACAGTGCATAAATAAAAATGAGCAAGAAACACAGGAAAGGAGTTTAAATCAGCTGATTCGCACATTCTGTCATACTTGTTTATATCGACTACAAATTTTATATGTACAACATCTGTTCACAAATATGAGAATCGATTAAAACAGATAAATCTGTATTTTAGTTTGGCCCTATTTATTGTAACAAAAAGATTAACAGACATTTTTAACTTTCCCACTTCCCATCTAAAAAAACAACACCAAAAACCATAACAGAAGCTCTTTTCTTATGGTTTCCACTAAATTACCAGTAAAACATTAAAACAAAAAAAATTTACGATTATAACCAGTACAATTTGATGCTTTTTTTCTAGTGTGTTCCTAGTGCGTTACATTGCATTAGGATTTACTAGTTTTAACTTACAAGTTAACTTGCAATACATCTTCATTTAAACCAATACACTTTCTATTCAAATAATAGGAATTTTTATTGGCAGGGAATTTCTTTTCCCCCACACCATTTGATATATCTTCAACAAACACAATTTTTATGTGGTGCGGAATTATTTTTTTTCTCAGTAAAAAAAAAAAAAGAAAAAAAGAAAAACACAATGTAAAATACTTTCAGGTAAACTGCCTGAATGCAAATCTAGTCACACACCAGGCAGATATATAAAATAAAGTTTATTGAAATTAGTAGTATTACATTAGTGTCGCAAATAAACACAATGAGTTTGAATTCTTAAAACATTCTTTATATTTAAATTTGAAACTTATATTAGATTACAGAAAAGTTACTTTGAGGAGTCAGTACAAGGATTCAGTTTCTTTTCTTTTCAAAAGGAAATTTTCGAAGGGAAGTCCAGAGAGACCTAAAGCCCATATCTCTTTTTTTTTAATACACAACATTAACCTTACACGCTTCAAGGTATAACTGACGCCGAGAGAGGACACTAGAAACAAATCTTGATATCATGTGGTTAAGAAACAACGCATTTTTATATTCCTATAACTGCTTTTAGGTACTGAAGTTTCTCCGTTGTCCTCCAGTGTCTCTAGGACAGGTTGGCCTATGAAGCTCTGAAAGAAAGAACAATCGAAACAAACAAACAAATAGACTGACTTCTCAGAGTCCTCCAAAAAAAGTAGAGCTCTGCAGAATGCCAAGGAGCCGAACACACACAGGAGGAGATTCTACAAAAAAGCCTGCAAGAAAACATCAGGTCAGCATATGAAAAAAGTCCACACATCCAAAGACCTGCCCTCCATGGGGCAAAAAATAGCATCCAGCTTTAAAACGTTCTTCGATTCATTAGTCTCCGAATCATCAGAACGCAAATCAAGCCAGCATGTTCGGGGAAAAAAAGATCATTCAAAAAAACAAAACAAGAGAACTACTTCACACAGAGATCACACAACATTTTCCAACAGCACGCGAGGCTGTACGCAAGAGGGGTTGGGTTTTCTTTCGGAGGGTCACACAGATCAGAGCGAATAACATCCAGGAGGAAACGCTGCGACAAAGAACAAAGTGACACCTCTGAACTTCAGCAAAGTCCTTCAGCTGAAAACTATAATTCCCAGTAGGCAAAGCACACGGCCTATGATGATGTGCTTGTCCTGAGCTCAGAAAGACGAGGATGAAAACAACTCATCCTGATAAAGCCCGTGTTCTTCAATGCCCTTCTCAGACAGAGAGTGAGAGAAACAGTGAGTTGCAGTAGAGTTAAAAGAACGATGTGGTTGATCAATTCTCAGACATGGCAGCTGGAAGAACTTGTGCACGATGGACAGGTTTGATGGAGGGCTGAGCTTTTAGTCCTCGTCGTCGTTTTCATCAAACTCATCGTCGTCGTCATCGTCCTCACCCATGTAAGAGACGGGAGTCTCCACCCGAGAGCCGCTGTAGTGGGAGTCATTAGAACTAGAGGCCATTGTAGCATCGGCCCCACTGTCACTGTCAAAGAAGCCGATGAAAGCATTAGTGAATTTATTAAAGGGTCTTGATATACTTTAAGCTAAATAATGTGATGTCAGATAAAATTTTCAGAAACCTGCCAAAGTAAACTTTCCTGAAAAGTTTAATTTGGGTGGGAAACGCCTTTGAAGTACCATTGGTCAAATGTGATTTCATAAAAAGAAGTTGTGCCTCTGGGGCTTCACCTCCTTTGATATAGAAAACTACTCAGATTTGTTTCTTTAGTAAATATAGGTCAGAGAAAAATAAATAAATAAAATACATGAAAGCTGAAAACTTTGAAATTGTTATGCTTAATTCTGGAAATCAGCTTGTTTCAAATTAATATACTATAAAGCACTATATAAATATAGATGGACTAACTTTAATTGACTGAAGTCCCAAATTGCGCTGTTATGCTGTGTTCACACTAGATGTGGGAATAAATAGTGAGTAAATAGACACGTGGACAATTTGAGTTTACTCGCTTCATTCGCACCTCAAATTTACTTCACAATAGACACGGATTCGCATCATGGGAAGGGCTTCTGTCAACCCAGTGACTTTAGCTTCATTGCTAAATGGCTAACATGGATTTTGTTGAAATAGTAGTTGTGTTTAAGGAAGGCTGATTTGTTCAGCACCTTGTCTGAGTGCACTAGATCCTTTTAGAGGTGCACCCAGCTCTGCGAGTTCTTCAACTCCTCCACTAACTATCCCTGAATGATGGTGGCTTTCAGCGGTGCTTCAGACTGAGCCGAGCCCAGTTTAATGAACTACTGTCCAGTGTTAGCAAGAGGATTTCTCCTCTGGACGCCAACAACATCATAATTATGTAAATTACTCCCATACAAGAGAAAGCTCCTGATTGGTTAACCCAGCACAAATGTCTGCTGAAGTTCAGATTTTCCAACTCACACAATAGGCGCCTCAAATGCATAAAACGCTCAACTCGTGTTGCTTCATTCGCCCGAATCGCGTTAAGTCTTTGCATTGACTTAGCATGTAAATCGCTTTATTTTTGTCTGATGTAAACGCTGCATTACAAACATATTCAAGTTGCTATTACAAGTTCCTTTCTTGCTTAGAAATTTGGGCATTGTTAAGAATTTAGGAGTTTTTGCTCATCACATCAAGGTTGCGTTTAATTTATCAAAAAATACAAATGAAATTAAAGTTTATAGTAACTACTTCCTATTTTAATTCATTTTTTTAAATGCGTCTATTTCTGTGATGGCACATCTGCATTTTCATCATTGTTTCTCCAGCTAGCATCTTCCTTTAAAGATCATTCTAAAGCCTCGTTTTCCAATATGGTTCAGGGTGGCTTGGCTTTGCATTTTCACTGCAGTTTAGCACCACTTAAAGTAGGTTGGATTTAGGGTTATCAAAAGTAACGAGGAGTTTGGTACAGAAATTTTAAAAACTGTCCATTTCCCGCTAACATTTGAGCACTGTTGAGCTTGTTCAACAGTGGAACACAGCTTTCTTTTAAAACAGTAATCTGAATTTATTAAAAATTTATATCTATAAAAAAAACACCACAATATTGAACCTTACTTTTAAAAGGTAGTTTATTGCTGAAAAATAGCAGTCTTATACAGGCCTGTCACAATAATCAATATATTAACTTATAGCAAAACACATGAACTTGAACTCAATCATTTTTGGTGATGCACTATATAATCGCCCATACATAAAAACCAAATCTAACAACATTTTGGCTGATTGCGCAATCTCTCTATTTGAGGTGATAGTATGGTTAAACACTATAGTATTTACTATAAATTACTATAGTATATTTTCATGTGGGTGCCCGACAACTGAAAACAGGTCTGATAGCAGATATCAAAGCCTGTTACTTTTATTTTTATGTTTATTTTTAACATTTTTTTAAATTTGGTTAGAATATGTTTTCACAATCTGATTCCAGTGACTAATTATTAAAACGACTATAATTAAATTAAATATTCATAAGAATAAACTCAAGTGTTCTTTAAAAGAGAGTACCTTGTATCATGATGCTATTATATTGTCATTTTGGCATTATATAAAGCATAAAATGGTCTTAAAATGACAATAATATCCTTTATCGCAATATATTTTGATGTATTATATCATACAACAAAAAATAGATATGACAGGCCTAATCTAATATGATTAAAATAGCTACTTTTTCTTCTAAATCTATTCCAATACCGAACAACAGAAAAATGTGCAAAAGAAACTCACCCTCCTACATGATAGCGGCCACCTCCATTTGCAGATGAAGCCCCCGTCATGTAGACATTACTGATAGGTCCCTGTGCCATTTCTGCATGTAGAAGTCACCATCAATTGAAACATTTGATTTCTGCTGAAACTAAACTTTTGTATCAGATATAGTATCAACTGATGTGGTGACCAGTGGCTCTCACCTGTGACATAAGGCTCCAGGGCTTTGGGCACCAAGCTCCTAGCAGTCTTCAGGTCTTCAGCAGAGCACTTGCCCACCTCAAGACCACAAGCCATGCCCATGCGCTTCAATACCTCAATGTCATCGTGAATCTCAAACATGCTATCAAAGTTGAAGAGGTACTCAAACCTAACCACAAAAGGAAGCAATGAGTGAAGTGCATGAAGTGAAGATCTTCGAGATTTAATTCATCCCACAAATAAGAATGTGCAATATTTATAATCTACAATCATAATTGTTTTAATCATGAGCTGATGATATAGAAAGTTGCCAACTTGGAAAAAAATATATATATAAAAAAACAAGTCTTCATAAAGTCGGAAAAAATGCTGAATTAAAATTTGCATGGCCCTGTAATCCAAACAACTGTGATATTGCTTGTGTTGGGAAGCAAAAATTGCTTTACATTCTGGAATAGAATACTTAAGGATAGCACTCGACTTCGCTGATTGATTCATATACGCACAATACTTTTTTACTTTGTGATCTGTCAGGACTTAACATGTTAATTTAATCACTAGTATGGAAGCAATAGAGAAAAAAATGAAATAAGCATTTGACTATGGATTCTAATATACATTAAGACAATTTCTTCTTCTATGTATCACAAAACCTATTATGAGCTTTAAAGAGATAGTTCATCCAAAAATATTCTGAAAAAAGTTGTAAACCTGTAACTATTGACACAAAGATATCTTAAGGAATGCGGACATCCTGTAACCACTGATCTTCAGAATATCTTCATATTCATCAGAATATCTTCATATTCAACAGAATAAAGGAGTTTATAAAGGTTTAAAATAAATTAAAGGGTATGAAAACATTAAATAAAATTATTCTTGGGTGAACTAACCCATTAAATACAATTTAAATGTGCAAAAATTAACATTGGCTAGTGAACAGTACCAGCAAACCATTAACCTTTGATCTACATTGAGCTATGCAGCATACAGCAACTGCACCAGTAACACTGCACTAAACTTTATGCACAAGTTTTACTTCTGTCATGCTGCTTATTTGAGTGCATGACAGCTTGAAGTTAATTCATCTCAAACTGGGAATCAGCAAGAATCTGGGCTGAAAGTGATCAAATTCAAATGATCCCCCAAGTCTATATAAAAAAAACTTTTAACATAAATAATTTCATCAATGAATGGGTTACATTTCCGATGACAATATTGTTGTTTTTTATATGCTTTTTATATATGAAATGTAACTATGAATGCTAAAAAGGCATGTTCTAAATAATAATAATTTATGTGGTATGAATAAAGCATAAAAACGAACATTTTATCATGTAATTTGAACTAGAAACATCATTTGTGCTGTTTTTTTTCCATTCATAAATGTTGCCATTCTTGGTATGGTAAAGCTTAAGAACCATGCTTGAGTATCTCCCCACAAGTAGTAGGTCATCAGTATCAGTTTGTGGAGTAATGTGAATTTGGACATATTAAATACAATCTTTTCGCCAACTATAGAGTAGCAAAACATGCAATCTTGAAAACTATACATGCTTTAAACTAATCGTCTGAACAAGTGAGTCAATTATTCACCTACTGAAAGGTTTAGAGTAATTTTCCTTTATACATGGCCAAAAACTATGACAAAAAAAAAACAAAACAAACAAACATCAAGACATATTTTCTCCCCAATATCGCACACCCTTATCCACCTACAATCTACATGGCTTGACTTGAAGTCATACTTGTCATTGGAAATGCTGCAGTCAATGACTGTTTTCTTGCTGGTGTTGACGATAATAAATGGCAGGTGAATGACTGAGTTGGCAGGTGGGGGCCTTTTTGTCTGTTGTTCTCTCTGGCGGTTTCTCTGTACAAGGTTCTTAAAAGCAATTTGCTGCAATTAAAACAGTGTGTTAGTCAAGTTCATCAACATAAAATAATTCTTACAAAACAAAAGACTAATTTCTGACCTGTAATATAAGTTCTTGAAGTTGTGACTGTTTTTGTTTGATTCTCTCCAAACGTCTTTGCCTCTCCACCTTTAAAAATACCAAACATTCAGTTTAAGTACAATTAGTTTAAACTCTAATTGCCTGTACTTTCTCTAACTGTCTTAAAGGAAGGGACATAAACTTTAGTGAAAAAGTACCAGTACACCCACCTCCAGGTTCTGGCACTCCTGAGCAGAGTTTGTGGGCAGACCAATCCATTTGATCTCCTTTTTCTCTTTGGAAATTATGTTCATGGCCATCAGCACATTGAGAGCATCGTACACACGCCGTCGAATGTTCTTCTGGTCATACACATGCTGAAAAAAGCAGAAACCAAAAGCGTTGGTTTATTTATCATGTTATATATGTTAAGAAGCAAGTCTTTAATTGGTTTTAAAAGCTTCACTTCTGCACTCAACGAGAAATGCTCTGAATCAATGTCTGGCCGCAGGGGAAGGCTCACCGCATCATTAGGAGAGATATGATTATCACCAGAGCTGAACTCGGCCACAAGCTCATCAGCAACCTCGTTGTAAGTTGTGACACCCTTCCGCTGGACCTTCTCGCAAACCTTCATGGAAAAATGTCTGAGGCCTTTCCCATTCTTCTCCCCCTTCTTACCCCTTTTTCTGAAGAACAACAGATCCAACAGCAAATTATTGATATTTTTTAATTATAACTGCTGATAGAGAAAAGAGAGCAAAGCAAGAGTTTATTTTAAAAAAAAATCCAAAGTACTTATACAATGTACAAGGTGAAGTAAAAATATTCTGCCTTAAAAAAAATATATGAAAGTATGTCATAACTCGACGACTCCATTAGCAAAATCATTATTAACTTTAGTGGTAATTCACAAAATACAAACTGGCACTAGATCACAAAACCAGTCATAACTGTCAATTATTAACATTAATTATCATTAACATTTTTGAAACCTCACCAGAAAGTTGTCTAAAAATTGCTTTCCATTGATGTTTGGTTTGTTAGGATAGGGCAATATTTCGCTGACATAAAGCTATTTGAAATTATGAAAACCAACAGTTCAAAGAAAATCTAAATACTGTGAAAAATCTTGTCTAAATAATGAGGTCAGCAATGCATATTACTAAACTTAGTTTTGTATTTGATATATTTACAATGAGAAATTTACTAAATTTAAAACACTTACAGCTGTGCGAATAATCGAAATCAAACCACGATTTAGAACGTTGGAATCAACTAAATCGCAACAGGCTGAGATTCATTCAATCATTTTCTTGTCAGCTTAGTCCCTTTATTAATCCGGGGTCGCCACAGCGGAATGAACCGCCAACTTATCCAGCAAGTTTTTACGCAACGGATGCCCTTCCAGCCACAACCCATCTCTGGGAAACATCCACACACACACACTCATACACTACGGACAATTTAGCCTACCCAATTCACCTGTACCGCATGTGTTCGGACTGTGGGGGAAACCGGAGCACCCAGAGGAAACCCACGCGAAGGCAGGGAGAACATGCAAACTCCACACAGAAACGCCAACTGAGCCGAAGTTCGAACCAGCGACCCAGCGACCTTCTTGCTGTGAGGTAACAGCACTAACTACTGCCCCACCGCCTCGAGAGGCTGAGATATGAAATTGAAATTAAATGTATCAATAGAATTTCCCCCACTGTTACGTATTTTCTTAAAAAAATTAAATAATACTATAGAAATAATAATAATATAAATAAATATCCCAAGTAGTGTTTTTTTGTTTGTAATTGTGTGTTTTCTCTCCGCCTCTTTCTCCGAATAGGTTTCATTATTACCGCACAGGTGTTGTGAAGCAGGTGCCAGCATGTGGAGGCCGGCTAGTTGGTGAGGACCATTTAAACCGGACTGGAATGTCGTTCGGAGAGTCTCCTCTCTCTCGCCTTGTGTTGTGAAGTAGAAACTTTGTATTTTACTCGGATAAATAGTTGAAAGTGAATGCTGATTGTTGACTCTGAGATCTATGCGGAGACACGTGTGCTGAGGAGGGTGCCTTTTTGTTTTATTACATTTTCCTCATATTTTGTGGTTAGTAAGGAAGTAAGAGAATGTTATTTTATTTGTCTTATTTCATGTGCAGGTAAGAGGGTTAAAAACTTAGTTAGCTGTTCAGTTTTTTTTTTTGGCATTAACCTCCGCAAGCTTTTTATTGTCTCCTTTTTGAAGTTGAACATCAAATAAATTTGACTATATGTTATTTCCTTGGTCATTTGTCTTTGTTGTTGTTTTTACTTTTGAACTGGAGATGAGACTGCAGGCTCCTAATTAATTTAGAAGAGTTCTAATTATTTTTATTTAATATTATTTATTGTTACGGGTTTGGCTTGCTGTGTGGAGCCAAGCAAGATTGGAATTCGTAACACCCACCCAGAGCAAATGTGTGACTGCTGTCTGTGTGTTACAGTCTTATGATACAATTAAGTGAGCACGCTTGTGTTCTGACCAATCAGAATTATGCGACTGAACTGTGGAAGCCCATAATAAAACAAACAAACAGGAAAACGTGGAACAGTGGGATGATGCTTCAGAAGTATTAATAGATTAATTCATATTGGTAACATGGGATGATATTGGTTTCAAAGTCAGGGACACCGAACAAAAACAGGTCATTTGTTAGAGCAGCCACAGAACGAGGAAATACAACAAAAAGGCACCTAAAAAAGCATCACAGGTGGCTATATGAGGAGTGTCTCGCAAAAAAAGTTAACAGGGTATTGCTAGTGACAATGAATCTAGTAGCTATCAAAAGCAAAGTACAATTTCTAAGTTGTTTGCAGCTGTTTCACCATATGAAAAAAAACATTACAAAACCACCAGGAGATAACTAATGCCATAACTTACTGCTAAAACCGTGTGTCTTATTTCTAAATATTTATAAATAAATTTGAATAGAAGTTGGAGTTTGTTCATATTTCAGTTCCTTTTTTAACTAACACTCACAGCATTTTAGTAGTAAGAAGCTACAATACAGAATATTAAGGTGAAGCTTGACTACAAAATTAAAAAGCTAATCAAATCAAAAATAGCAATATCTGTGTAAAAAAATTGCAATTACATATTTTCACCAAATAGTACAACCCTAAAAAAAACTTCATGAAATATGATCTCATTTTATCTCAATATGAAATCATTTTGACTCACACAATGCATTTTCTGCTATTGTAAGTTTTGTAGTACAGGGTCACATTTATGGTATCAAATGCAAAGTGAAATGAAAATATAATATATAAAAATCATCATTAATGTTACGGATTTCTCCAGCAGTATTCAAACGCAGAGCGACAACAGGAAAATCCGAAACATTCAGTAAAACACCTGGCTCCACAAAAGGTTATATAATAACCAGCTGAGGAATGACTTACCCTGAAGACCAAGGAGAGGCTTCTGACGGTTGACTCTGGGTAATAAACTGAGAGCTTGGTGTGTGTGGGCTGTTCATGAGGATCACATTGGAGCCGCTGGGCCTCTGAGGTGTGCTAATAACCTGCGACAGAGACAATCAGGTTGAGAATACAAAACAAAAAAAGAATAAATAATATTGGATATGGAGAAATCTTATATTAAGCCGATGTTCACAAGTAACAACACTTTGTTTCAAGTGCGTTTATTATGCTACTGTAGGCATTACATTTCATGTGTGCAAAGGCCAAAGATCACAGTAAATGAAATTGAAACTTAATTATTGTAATCAGTAATCCATGTCTTATGGCCATGTGCATGTTTGAAACCTATTTGCATTATGCCAGCTAATGGTCTTCCAGCCATCAAATCCTTGAATGAATTTAATTCAATTCACCTTTATTTGTATAGCTCTTTACAATCTAGATTGTGTCAAAGCAGCTTCACATAAATAGTCATAGTAAATTGGAACAGTGTAGTTCAGTTTTTTTAGTGTTTAAGTTCAGTTTTAGCTCAGTTCAGTGTGGTTTAACGATCATAAACCATGCAAGCTAGAGGCGAAAGCTGAATCAATCCTTATGGATGTTGAGTAAAACAGGTAGTAAAATGTATATTAAAAATTAATTGCATATGATCATGGATGGAGTGCAGGCGAATAGGTTTCTTTTTTATGCCGATTACATATAAACGACATTCTTCTTATTTTCAATGACATATGGTCGGAAATTAACAGCATAGCAGCTGTGAATATGCAGGTGGCTAAACAGCAAGAGTCTGTTGTAGATGCCAACAATTCCTCTAATAAATAAGTTCATGAATAATTTTTTTATTATCATGCGAGTTAAATGGTCAAAATTGTCTAATCATAACACCAGTTGTAAATGGCAAGGTGTCTCCTTCGACTTCTGATTTGATCAACCAATCTTAATATAAAAATGTAAAAACTGTTCCTCAGACAGTAGACAGTACTTAAAGCGAATTCAATTCACACACACCTCTTTCAAGAGCAAGTTTGGATTCACTATTTTGATAAAAGCATGTTAAACTAGTTTATAGTTAACTTAGTTTATAATGTCTAAAATGAAACCTATAAACTTTTTCAGGTTTTTCTTTGGCAAACTTTTGTCATGTAATGTAATGTGTATTCATATAGCACATTTATCGTGTATGGCTATACACCCAAAGAGCAATTTAGTGTATGGGGAGGATTACGAGGCCATGATGGGTAAGGGACGATGGAGGGAATTTGGCCAGGACACCGGGGTTACACCCCTACTCTTTACGATGTGATTTTTACTGACCACAGAGAATCAGGACCTCAGTTTAACGTCTCATCCAAAAGACAGCGCTCACTGACAGTATAGAGTCCCCTTCACTATACTGGGGCATTAGAACTCACACAGAGCACAAGTTGAGCGCCACCCTGTTGGCCTCAAAAACCACTTCCAACAGCAACCAAGTTTTCCCATGTGGTCTCCCATTCAGGTACTGACCAGTCTTAGCCTGGTTATGATGTACTGACAGGTTTCTGACATACTAGTGTGATGGATATACACGAGTCTCATGCATTTGTTGGCTACTCATATCTCCCTTACCACAGAACGTGAAAAATCCCTCGCTAGTAACACACTATGGCGAGGGAGCAGGGATGTATCGTATTGCATAATGATATCAAATTAAATCAAATGACATAATCATAATCGAACTGTGAGACTAGAGTAGGTTCACACACCTATCAGTCAGTGTGTGATGTTTGGCATAATCATGTGACACTACATCTCAGTGAGCTTTTGAATGCATGAAGAAGTCCGTTTTACAGAAAAAATTATTGGACGAAGGTATACTTTCATTTTATTCCCATCAAGCACAAAAATATTTTGTTTACTTTGTAATGCAAGTTGTGAAGATTGAAAATGCAACTCAAAAGGTTTAGGCAGCTGATGGAATACAAAGTGCCATTTCTCACACTAGACTGCTCTGAATTTCACAACACATTACTTTTGAAGTACTCCGGTTGTCTTGTTCATAAAAGTTGCTGGTACCTAAATTATGTTTCATTTGATACCACTTTTTTTATTTTTTATTTTTTATTATGTTATTGTTTAATTATTAATGACTTTTTCCAATTGATGATTTATGCATGAGCATGTTCATTAAAGAAAAAAAAAGGTTATGTTTAATTTTTCCAAACCTGACACAGATGAAATCTCAGATTTGAACCTATGAATTCAGACTTTGAAAACAGCTGGTTTAGGTTCCTCACTCCATTAGGATATTACAAATTGCTTTATGTGGATTAAAAAAAAACTATAAACCAAACATAACCATTCTTGAAAATCAGTCAGCCTAACCTGTCAAATCAGGAGATGGTGTGTGTTTAGCATAATGCAGAACACAAGCAGTGTCTAAGGGTTTTTCCCCCCTGCCTTTTACTATGACCAGGAATACAATCAGCCAGTGCAGTCCATAGTAAAAAGTGACATTTTTTGTCTGCCGGTTTGTTTACTTGAGGGAATTCCATTGACATTTTCCTGCACATTAATACGGACCAATCGAAAAGCAGTTTAGGAAATTTGTTCAATAATATCTGGCCAATGAGTGATGTGGATAGTCACATGACTGCATTTTAGTTCTTTTCAACTGGTTGAGACAAAAGCAATCAGTGTGGTGTGAAAAGGAATCAAAAACAGACAAAAAAAAAAAAAAAAGTTACAATGTGTCATTTGTTGCCCTTAATCTGGACCAAATGAACCAAACCACAGATGTGAAAGCACCCTAAAGGCTCCTATACACCGGGACGCTTTTCGTTTGCGTTTATCGTCAGCGTTTTAAGAGACGTTTTTCCGTATTCAAAGCCAAGCAATTTTTACTGGCGTCAAGCAGAAGAGTATGCAAAATCACCATATGCAAAAGAGCAAAAAGCAGCTAAACGTTCATATATAGCCTCTGGACATCTTCTTTAATGTGCGCTCGCATTGACAATTTTGCGCTTGAGAGCCTCCAAGTGCTGTTTACTGTAACTTCAGCAGCTCCGTGCACTTGAACAAAAGTGCTGATCTGATTGGTGGAGAAAGTTATTCAATCAAAGTTCTTTTGCAGTGTAAACATTCATGTGGTCAAATGGGTTTAACAAGACACAAAAGATCACCTGCTTTCAAACCATGTTATATACCTAAGATGCTTCCCAAATTGCATACTTATGCACTATTCTACGCTATTTTGTAGTATAAATAGTGCGTTCACACTGAAAACTCTAAAAATAATAAGTGCACTTTAATTACCCGGATGATGCACTCATTCAGCTGGTAAAATGAAGTGTTTAATGATGGACACTTCACGCACTCAACGACCGCAGGTTTGCTTATGTAGTAGAAGGGGCGGAGTTATCGGACGCACATGTTGGATAACTTTTTTTATTTTGGATGGTGAAAGCAAAATTCTCATACGAGATTGGTTATAGCGCCTCCCGATGGTGAATGCGGCAATACTCACGGCAGGTATTACTTGATAATTCGGCCGTTTATTTAACTTATTTAGCAACCGTCAAACGTCATTAGGGAAACGGTTTGAATTTCCGCTTAGTAAAAAAACATTAGTGTGCCATTTGGGACAACACTACATACATGTACTATCCTGTTGAGTGTGTAAGTTCATAAGTACATAGTGCATGAGTGCATAGTGTGCCATTTAGGACGAAGCTCTAGTCTCCAACCTTGTGATCTTTTTGAGGCATGTTGTGAAGAAATATCACCAAAACAAAGTATTCATATTTTGTTGCACCAAATCACAGATTACAATTGTAGTTTCCATCCATATTCTTTTCATTTGGCTTCTTTCCTGTTCTCTCCCTAAGTTACGAAACAAGGTTTTTTCAAGAGTATTAATGCAGCACACAGATCACTCCAGAGAAAATGATTCAGAACATAACAAAATGAAAAGGTCTTCAAGGAAATGGTAAGGCATCCCAGCTCTCTACAATGTCTATAGCAATTATGACAACCTGATTAAATCTGAAATACACACTTAATTCACAAATAGAACGATTAACACTAGTATGATTTATAGATGCAGTGTTTATGTGACCAAACTCACCATATGTGGTGCAATGTTCACGTTGGAAGGGCCCAGTGTTTTTGGCAACAGCTGTTTTCCAACAGTCAAAGCCTGTGGATGCACCGTTACTAAAGACAGCACACCTGCAGGGGTAGAAGAATACACAGAAGACTTCTAAACGTAGTGCTATGTAAGGTCAAGCAGGTGTCTGTGATTTTGCATAGCATTTTTGCAAGATCTTAAATATAATTCTTCAGAAAGCCTCTTCTTACCTTTGCCAGGGCTCAAGTTTTGATCAATGAAAACCTTCAACTCCCCATTGGCCTCAATCAGACCAGCCTGCGGAGAACGAGATAACCCTCAATGATCATTCTTAGTAGATGACATCTAATAGAGCAACAGAAAATACTCACATCTTTGGCCATGATCCCTGGGGCTGAGGAATTGATGCTTGGTCTAGCTTAAAAACCTGAGCCAAATTTCCACAACAAAACGTCACTGCAAAAAAAAAAAAACGAAAACTGGTTTGGCACAAGAACCGAGGACACTTGAAGACTGTAACCAAGGTTACTACACAAATCTTTGTGTCTCATAATGAAAGTGACTAATGAGGAATGTTTTCAATCGCCACAACAGCCAAAAGTTGCAGTGATCAATGGAATTCATTCTCTTAAAGATGGTTTGTCGATTATGAACAGAGGTTCAGACAGATATGGCAGATCTGTCTAAATTTTCTGTAAGCAAGACCAAAGCAGAAGACAGTACATCCCAAAAGCCATGTTCACAATAAATGGTACAAAATAATAGGGCTGGGCAATTTACCCTAAAATCAAAATCTCAATGAATTGAACATTAACTCGATTAAGATTAAGGAACGATTTTTTTTTTATTTTTTTTTTTGCCCTCATAGCTCAGACAAGTTTTGTACAACAAATGTTCACATATTACCAGTGAAAGATTTTTAAATAAAAGGGTGCATTATTCATTCATTCATTTATTTTCTTTTTGGCTTAGTCCCTTTATTAATCAGAAGTCGCCACAGCGGAATGAACCGCCAACTTATCCAGCATATGTTTTACGCAAGGAGGGGAAAAATTATTTATTGAACATTAATGTTAAACAACTGAGTGAAATCCCCACCACCTACGCTTGTCACTGCTTTCAAACTGACCAATCCCAAAGCCTGCGCTACATGTCGTCACAACATGTAGTTACATTTATTGAGAGGTGCGCTGGACCATACGTATAAGTATACATCAGCCTTAACAGAGCAGGGTCATGCGACTCCACATGCGTTAGGGAAAGTAATTGGGGAAAAAAACAGCCTGGAAAAATTAGAAACATTTATGTTTATGTTTATGAATGTAGATTTAGATTAATTTATAATTAATCACCCATCCCAACAGAATAATATGAATTGATTATGTTGACGCATCTAAATTTCATCACAGGGATATAACTAGGCATCAAAAGAGGGTTTTAATTTAAAAGGGTTAACATATTTAGGGTGTGTTCACATTTGTAGTTCAGATCTCTTGGTTGGGTTGTGTGGTCTGTCAAAATAGTAAATGCTACACTTAGTCCTAATTTGCTAACTGTTAAAACAAAAACTGTTAAAAAAAAAAAGTTTGGTCAGAAAAGAAATGGTGGAGCCCAGCTGAGCTTGGTTCCTCAAGGTTTTTTTCCTTCACTTTCGTCAATTGGTGAAGTTTGTTCATCTTCACTGGCTTGCTTGCTTGGATTGGGACTTGTGGAGCTGTGCATTGATGGATTTGCTCTTCAGTGTTTGGACTTTCAGTAGTAAAATTTAAACCACCCTGAACTGAACTTCAAATGTGAAATCCAGACTAACACGGTTTCAATTTACTAGAATTTCTATGTTAAGCTGCTTTGACACAATCTACAATGTAAAAGTGTTAGAGAAATAAACATTTAATACAAAAATTACATATTTTGTAAGAGAACATCCAAAACATTGCTGTGTGCTGGGCTAAACACACTTATAGTGGAAAGCCTATAAAACATGAAGGCTAAAGGAGTCAAAACTGTGACATTAAGAACTTTGATTGCAAGAAGACTCCTTTTCAAAACCTGTACTCAACCATAAGAAGCAGTATTTCTTCTAAAAATATATGTATGATAGTGCACTGTCTTTTTTGTGGTCACATATTGTGACATGTTTTAGTTTGCAAGGAAGTATATTGTGTTGCATCGCAATCATGCCAAAACCTATTTTTCCAGCAGTGATGGTCTGCTTGTTTGGTCCACAACCATGGCAGCGTTCACACTTATTCAAATGATCCAACAGAGCAACTGCACCAGAGATAATTCTAATCAAACCAAACCCACCAAGTGTCAATGAACACACCCTTACATCTTTAGCACAAGCCTAAACAATACAAGTTTACACGAATGTTTATATATTAACATCTCAATGCAGTGTTTAGCCAAGATGTTTTACTTGATGATATTATTTACATGTGGATTAAAACATCACAAGTGTATTGAGATGAGACCCAAACACTTTCAAGCACTGTGTGAATTCAAAGTTAGTTCGATTCGGTGTTTGCTAAAGAAGTCGCAATTTTTAAAATGCTGTCTAGGTAGGACGCTCACAAGGTTTGGAAACACTGTCATGGTTGATGAAAACGAGGCCCGCCAGCTCTCATGCAGCTTTTATTACCAGACAAAGACCTCGACGAATCGTATCATCTCTTTAACATCAAATCTCGAACTCCTACACCCAAACCCCTCGTGCAATATCCTGAAAAACATCCATATGCAACAGTTCCTGTCGTTTTGAGTAACTTTTCTTGCAAAAGGAAAGGGCCCTTAAATACAAAAATATCAAGTGTCTCAAGTAATAAAAAAGCGTGTAAACGCATCAAGCAGAACGATAATCTGCTTCATTCGTTTACTTTTTCCGCTCCAAACATAATGCACAATCGAAGCAGTGTGCACTATTATAAAGCGTGTTAGCCCAGTTAGCTAGCAGCCTTTCAAACACGTTTTGCAACGAACCCTGGTCCTAATTGTGATCAAAACGTGCTTCTCGTGTTTAAATGCGAGCAGATCGGGTATTGTGCATGTGCTCGTACCGTTTTGCAAACGAATCGGACTTAAATGGCCATCTGGAAATGAAGTCTGTAAACTTTCCTCTGAACTTACAGTCCTGAAGCCCTTTGCCTTCTTAGGTGCTGTTTTTGTTGGCATAGCCAGTTAGCAAGAGGACAGAGGAAGAGGAGGTCTGAAGCCCATCTCTCAAACAGGAAACAAAAATAAATCAAATAATATGAAAAATAAAAACCCATGTGCGGTGAATGAGCGTGCTTTTGAAACGAGCTTGCACTTGGGAGATGTTTGATTGTTAGATCATGGCACATTCATAAACCTCAAAATGGATGCGGATGTTTTAAGCATGCACATACAAGACGCATGCAAACTGTAAATCCCTATAAATAATTCCAAATAAAAGAACTAAAATTATCAATATATATTATATAGAGTTTAATAAAGAATAATCTTAAGCAAATATATGTATATAAACGGCCACATTATTAAGCAACACAGTTGACAGTCACAACACCTATTCAGCTGGAGGGTCACAGAATTCGTTGGCTTCAACAGCAACACAAGTTAAACAACCGATTATACTCTAAAAACGGAAAATAGCCGTTCATAATGGGACATAATTATTTGCAAACATTCATGAACTAATTGAACAAACAGGATGGTTTTGGTTTAATGCCTGGCAGCCATTTTACATGGTTGCTAAAGCAAAGCCAACATGCAGTGATGCTAGCTGAGGTGACAGGTCCTTCTGTCGTCAAAAACTACTTATTAATTGAACAAAATCCTCGTGCTTATGCGATAGTAACAATAACAACTGTTTCTTTAGTTTCAAAAGTCTTTAAAACACGCTTTAAAGCGAATTAAAATAAAACTGTTAAGCTAGCGACCAGGCGAGCTAGTAACGTCAAGCTAACTTCCACTCAAATCGAGGTCATCTCGACAGCTTTATCATAATCAATCTACGATCCCCTTACTATTGTTTATTACACGTCCAGTTTTGCCTGCCAATGCTTTTTTGTACGATCGGTAAAGATCAGGGACGATTTTCTATTGCACTACACTGACAGAAACACTTGACATGGCTTAGCATGTTGGCTAACACAAGCCATCTGAGACAGACAGTTTTAATATTTCACCTATATGATAATGAATCAGGACTGATGGTTAACAGACTAACGGCCTCAGATAGCAGATGTACAACTGCATACAGTCGCACGCTGTTGTTTTAGAACGAGTTTGCTGTCAAACGCACTTATTTTGTGTTAAATTATTACAAGCGCAGATAAAAGACAGCTTCTTTATGCACTGGTGATATATAAAAACGGAAAACATCGCTCAAAGCTGTCTGTGTGGACTCGGAGCCCCCCCTGGTCTCACTTACGGTCGGTTGCATCCGCCTTCAACTGTCTAGCGTAGAATGAATAGGAGCGCACAGTAGAACCTGCTCCCTCTCTAGGTCTGTAAAACTGAGCTTGGCGGTGTCGACGCCACGGGAAACCCGATTGGACGATGATGCTCGTGACGTCGAAAAAACGTATTACAAAAGACACGCCCGCGCTAAATTCTGATTAGACGGAGCGCTACAAAAGCTGTGTTGACATGTTCTCATTGGTTGATTATACTGGATTCCACCCACTGCGTCTGAGGGTGGAGCGTGCGTAGGTATATATGTAAATAAAGAGAATAAAAAATGGTTCATGTGTATTAAATGTCTAATATATGTTTATTAATACCACCCAATACAATAAGAACATCTGTTACCAGTGTATAAATGTCTAATTACCGCTTTCATATCACTTTCTCGGGTTATATTTTCAATTAGACCGCTTCCCCTTTGCACGGTAGTCATCCTGTTTATTTATTTAGATCTCAGTACTGTAAAAGTACTAAACATTTGAACCTAAGCTTAGATACAGACACCATATCAATTTATTACAGGTTTGTGGTGCAAAATAGTGCACTGGTATCCATTTAACTGTATTTAGGAAATGAAAAGGAAAAGGTAAACTCTTTCTTAGCTCTTTAAGTGTATTTGTTGGCTTGTTAGCCAAGTTACGATTAATAAATTGTGTTTTCATTTTAAATAATTGAGAAAAGATGTATAAAAAACAACATAAAATACGTTTAGAGGCGTTTAGTATTATGCACAAGTCAATATTTATGAAGTACAAATCATAATGTACAAATCAGCAAAATAATAAATTAGACTATTTTATTTGCTCATTATATAAAATATAAAATTGAAACTTTAAGTCATTAGGTCACATTTTGGTTTTAGGACTGTAACATGTTTATCAGTATTCATGCTGCCCCCACAGACAGGACTGTATACAGTATGTTTTATACAGATAACTAATGGAGAAGTGTTCAAAAAGGGTGTCACCATTTAGTGTCACTATCATTTTCAGGTCTCTGGGTGGGTATATTTGAAGAAGTTATTTGAATTAAATACTGTACATCAAGGGTGCCCAAACCCGGTCCTTGAGGGACGGTTTCCTCCATTTTTTAGGTGTAACCCCAATTAAACACACCTGAACTAGCTAATCAAGCTCTTTCTAGGTATACTAGAAACTTCCAGGCAGGTGGGTTAAGGAAAGTTGGAGCTAAACTATGCAGGACACCGGCCCTCCAGGACCAAGTTTGAGCACCCCTGCTGTACATTTATAAATGTCGAATTCTTACCTAAACAGAGTACATAAACACAGTTAGGTAGCAGTGGTGTAAAGTAACTAATTACAAATACTCAAATTACTGAAAATTGAGTAATTTTTCTCAGAAATTGTAATTTACCAAGAAGTTTTATAAATGTGTACTTTTACTGTCCCTTGAGTACATTTTTAGTGCAGTATCGGTACTTTTACTTCTTTGCTTCAACCTGCAGTCACTACTTTATTTCTTTCTTGTCCATGGGAATTGGCTAAAGTAGAAAAAAATAGTTCTGTGATTCTTGTCCAATTAAATCACACATAGAAAGTAAATCGCATAATAATGAACAACATCAACACGTGGGCGTTTTCTAAATGCAGCAAACCCTTTGGAAGCATTAAAAATGTCCCAGAAGATGTTCAAAATATTTACCCACATTGACGCACAGACTTTTAATACACTGGGCATCACTGATGAGAAAATAAATGTCAACTTTAATAAAAAAGAATGTCGTCTGTATGATGACTGAAATCACCAAACAGCTTTAAACAATCGCTAAATGGAACGAATAAAAAATGGAAGGACGAACTGAACAAAGGAAGGACTGAACTAATGAAGGAAGAAAAGACTAAAAAAATGAAGGAAGAATTCAAGGAAGGACTGAACAAACTAAGGAAGGAAAAGAAGGAAAGAGGGAAGGAAAGAACAAACAAATGAATGAACAAAGGACCTAAAGAAAGAATCAGGAAAAATTATGAACAAAAGAATTAATGAATGAGCGAACAAATGAAGGGAGGAATGAAGGAAGGTGGAAATGAACAAATGAATAAAGGAAGAACAGAACAAAGGACCTAATGAAGAAAGTAACAAAAATATAAACGAACAAAGGACTAAATGAATAAAGTGTTCAAGGAAGAACTGAACAAACTAAGAAAGGAAGGAAGGAACGAACAAATGAACAAAGGACCTAATAAAGGAAAGAACAAAAATATAAATGAGCGAACAAATAAAGGGAGGAACGAAGGAAGGACCAAATAAATGAAGTAAGGAATGAACAAATGAATGAATGAAGGAGAGACAGAACAAACAATGGAAGAAAGGTTGAAGGGAACAAACGAATATACAGTAGGAAGAACACTAAATGCACTACAGAATGTTACAATCACACATCCCTGCACAAACTGGATGTAAATGCAAAACTACTTTTTACAGCGTAATACTCACTACTCACTACTCTTGAGTACTTTTGAAAGGTCTACTTTTTACTCATACTTTGAGTAATATTTACAACAGATACTTTTACTCTACTTGCACTACATTTTTAGGCAAGTCATGTTAGGCAAGGTACTTTTACTTGCGTATGATTTTTCAGTTCTCTTTTCACCACTGTTAGGTAGTATATAAACAGAATAACCATAAACAAATACACATAGACTAACATAAACAAATGTTCCTTTCAGCAAATCACCTAATAAATCTGACAAATAAACATATAACTCAATATATATTGCAACATTGTGTTCATGTGCTTGGATGTAAACACAAGCTTGCTTAGAAATAACTGCCATGCCATAAATCAAAGAAGAACTGTTGCAACATATGTTGTGTCTGGGTTTATTTAAACTAGCTGCAGGTATCCCCTGTTGCAACATGCATGGAGATCTAAAATTAGATATTATATTACATTGATCTGAGAAACATGTTCACGTCAGTCCATTTTGCTCTGTTCACACTAAACATCCAACAGTGTTATCCACTCAAAGGTTTAGGCATACTGCACTGGTCAGCTGAACATGCTGAAAGTAGGTCATAACCAGTGTTAGATTATGCTAGCAGAGTCTGTAGATTGTGCTACTGAAAGATAACAGTAATACTACTACTACTACTACTACTACTACTACTACTACTACTAATAATAATATATATACAATTGCAGTCAGAATTATTAGCCCTCTTCGATTTTTTCTTCTTTTTTAAATATTTTCCAAATAATATTTAACAGAGCAAGGACATTTTTTACAGTATGTCTGATAATATTCTTTCTTCTGGAGAAAGTCTTATTTGTTTTATTTTGGCTATATAAAAGCAGTTTTTAATTTTTTATGTACCATTTTAGGGACAAAATTATTAGCCCCTTTAAGCTATATTTTTTCTCGATAATCTAAAGAACAAACCACTGCTACAATAACTTGCCTAATTCCCCTAACCTGCCTAGTTAACTTAATTAACCTAGTTAAGCCTTTAAATGTCACTTTAAGCTGTATAGAAGTGTCTTAAAAATATCTAGTAAAATATGATATACAGTCATAATGGTAAAGATAAAATAAATCAGTTATTAGAAATGAGTTATTAAAATTATTATGTTTATAAATGTGTTGAAAAAAATCTTCTCTTCCTTAAACATAAATTGGGGGAAAAATAAGCGGTCTAATAATTGAGGGGGGCTAATAATTCTGACTTCAACTGTATATATAATGTTAATAATTCAAAATAAAATGCACAGTATCCAGGGCTTTGCTGTACTTTAGATGATTTTATGGACTTACCACAATAACGATTAATTTGTTTGGGTACAATGTATTTACTGTGTTCACTTAGTATTAAAAAACTCTTTTGCTATTGAGCTCCATGTTATTTTAGGTGTTTAGTGGGGACCAGTAATTTTAGGGTGGGAATGGGAGCATGTTTCTTAATGTGTTTTTATATGTGTCCAGTTACTGTTCACACAATGTTGTATTAACTTCGATTGTTTGCCTTTAATATATATATATATATATATATATATATATATATATATATATATATATATATATAAATACAGTCTTCATTTCAGTTGGTTTATTGTCTAGTATTATTTGTATATCACAGTGTTTTATTGCTTTTTTATTAACTATTTTAGTATTTTCTTTTTTTCGTAATTGAATTCTAAGCCATTATTTTTACTCTCCTCCTGTTCCTCACCCTGATTTTGACAGTAATTAAAGATGTTATTACAGAAATGTGTAGGCATGATTTTTAAAGATGAAGTATAATGTAGATACATAAAAAGTGTATTTATAACACTTTCATTTACATATATTAGTTAAGAATTTATATTATTAATAGAAAGTGCATCCAAATGTTTTTTTTGTTTTTTTCAAATTACACTAGATTTTTATTTATGTAATTCCCTTGAGTTGGTAGCTTAAATAAATACTAAATAAAGTCTGACAAATTATATATTATATTATATTATATTATATTATATTATATTATATTATATTATATTATATTATATTATATTATATTATACTATATTATATTATATTATATTATATTATATTATATTATATTATATTATATTATATTATATTATATTATATTATATTATATTATATTCTTTAGACAAAGACAAAGTAAAAAAAAATTAAAATTTTTTTAATATCATAGTTATTCATATTTAGTACACATTTTTAAATTTAAACTTGATAATTGTATCATATTGCACATGATTTTGTAGTTATATGATTATTAGTCACTTTAATATTAATATTAGATGCTTAAACTCAAGATGCTAAGTTTTTATTAAAGTTTTCCACGTGAAATGATGATTGAGATGAGTATCATCTAAATACATTTTTCCAATGTTTTAAAAAAACTGGAGATAAAAAACCTGAACACATTCCTAAAACAAATGCTTCACGACACAATATGAATACAGTAAAATAGTTTGGACTTTTCCAGTGTTAAAAAAATGAGTGAATCATTTGAACCAAATCAACTTTTTTTTTTATTGTATCTCTGATCATTTTTTATTTTGCGATGTCAACCTCAAATTTGAAATTGCTAATTATTTTCTTAAACTTCTAGAAGTTTTTATAGATAGCCTAACAATTCTAACTCTTAAACATTTCAGTAATCCAACCCTAAATTGAAAATTGCATTTTCAGTTCATGCTTAAAAATGCTAATATAAATATACATGGCTGTACCAAATCCTCAACAATACAAAGTATTGCATTGTTTAAATAAAATATAGTATTATTTGATTCAATGAGATGTTGTTTTAAATACAAAATCGTTTATTTTTGACCGTCACGCGAAGAGCACCAGAGAGTTAATCAAACTACAACTCCCAACACATCACTGTTTCACCGCGCAGACTCGCTGGGGTTCTAGCGCATTCCCTTGATGCCTACACGCATGCGCAGTCGTTCATGGGAGCATTGGGTATCAATTTGGTCAAACAGCGGGTGATAAAATGGTAGGTGACATATAAATTAAAAACATTGCTGTCGTTTTCTGCTTCTGTGTTCGACGGAGAAGATCTGGCAAACGTAAATATTTGCGCCTTGTTCGAGTTGTTGTCTGCGCGTGTCGCACCGAGAATGCTCAAAATTGTGTGTATGTTTTGTATGGGCAGGAAGGTCAGTTGTTGATGTTTTGGGAGTTCAGCATGTACCTTCCCGCCTATGTGCCCTATATGTAATGCATAGTGCATATGAGGATGAATAATAACAGGCGCTTTACCCAAGCATGCACGCCGTTAACCCTGATGCTCTGTTTTGGGTTTTAAGGACCCCGTTAACACCTCAAAATCGTTGAACAATCAGGCTAGACGTCATGACTTTTTTTAAAATGCCTTCAAAACAAAAAGGTTTCAGCTTGATGACGTTAAAATAGCTTCATATTAATAACAAACTCAGTTCTGCTATGTTGTCATCCCCAAGTTCAAATTCTGCTAGATAAAAACAAAAGCACCAGAATTTGTGAATGTCTACTCAAACAGATTAGGGGTCTGAGGGCCCCCAAACAACCAGGCAGTCAATGTCAGCAGAACAGGAGGGTTAAGTGACACCCAAAGCCACTCCATAAAATGTCAAACGTCAGACTTTTAGCCCTGCCCTTTAAACCCAGCCTGGTTGTTTTCCAGATTGTTATAAACATGTCTTGAGTGGGCTATTAAACTTTTTTTTGTGCAGTGTTCTGCTTTCATGTCTTGTGATGACCAGTTGTTTTGAACTTGTGAAAAAAAATAGAGTTAAAAGAGCTTACTGTGCATGGATGGAAATAACTGTCGGGTAACCCGGTTGTTTTGCACTGGCCGCCCTGAGCTTGCCATCTCATATTACATGCCAAGCGCAAGTGGCCTGTCACAGGTCCTCACATGCTTGGTGCTTCAGTCGAACTTGCTCTGACCGGTAGAATGTCCTTTCAAATTGACACATTAGTGTGGACGTTTTGTGTTTACGGTTGTCCCCGTTGTCCGCTTTAGTCTTGTGTGCCTGAATGTGTGTAATTTTCTCTCTCTGTATGTTCGTTTGTGTCTCCTTCTGTTTGTATACAGTGCTGAATGTATTCCTGCGTCTGTCTGAGTTCATGTCTGAGGGCATATCTTTTGTGTCCACACAGCATAAACTAAAATCCTCCCAAAAGGACAAGGTACGGCAGTTCATGTCCTTCACTCAAGCCGGGGAGAAGACCGCCGTTTACTGCCTCACTCAAAATGACTGGAAACTAGAGGTGGCCACCGACAACTACTTTCAGAACCCAGATTTGTACCACAAGGAATCCATGAAAAGCTCAGTGGACCGAAAGAAGCTGGAGCAGCTTTACAATCGATATAAAGGTGAGGTTTCTTTACGTTTCCTTAAAATTTGAGTATTCCTTTAAATTCAATTCATTGTCCTATAGCTGTTTGAACCATTGCACGCTAAAAAGTGCTATTTTACAATTGTTACTTAACTATTTTTTTGTTGTTGGTTTTGCCGAATGATTCCAATATAAAGCTATTTTACTTTTCTATTCAGACTGGGCTGTTCCCTCATGGGGACTGTCATTTTGAGATCACACGACCAGCTGTGTCATTCAGTCCAACTGAGTTGCTAATAATAAAAACAACAAGTTTACTTTAAATAGTTCTTAGCCAGTGCTTAAAGCTGGGATGAAGTGGAAAACATTCTCTAAATGCATTATAACAATTTAATTGTAAACGTTATTATTATATTATATATTCAATTTAGGGCTGGGCAATAATGCAATCTCGATAATTATCTTTAGGGACCCCCTCGAAAATGAGATGATTCATCTCTAGGGGCTATCCCATTCATTAAATAAATTAAAATGTTCCATATTAAACGATAACGGTAAATATTTCGGTATAAGTTATTAATGCCTTTATATTTAAAAGACTTACCCAACAATGACTGAAGCCACAAAAATTAGAGGGTTCATAAAATGGCATAACATATTTTCAGGGTCCAACAATTTGGGTCAAACTTTATTTTGATGGTCCGTTTTTTGAATTATTTTACATTTGCATCTACATGCGATCTAATTCTCATTAGTTTTTTAACTAGACTATTAGGGTTAGTGTAAGTTGACATGTACTTGCAAAGTTTCTTATAGTCTGTTAAATGTCTGTTGAAGGAGCAGTATTAACAGACATTAAGCGGACAGTCTACTACTACTCAAATGGACCATCAAAATAATGTGATACCAAAATTTGGTTCATCTCTGACATCTACACACTTTTAGATTCCCATTGTTGAACATTTCTGCTGTTTAATTGGCTCTTTGATCAGTACAGAGTAAAAAAAAAGTCCAGAGCTTATCATTTTTATTGACATAAAGTTTATTTCGATTTGATATAATATGGTTTATCAGTCCAGCGCTAATTCACTTGTATTGCAACTTTTCTCAAAGTCAAAGATTTTTGTGGTCTAAAAGAACTGAATTTGTGGAGATAATTGTGACATTTCTTGTGTTGTTTTGCTGTGAAAAATACCACAGAAAACATTCCAGAGCATTACAGAGCTACCATTGTGCTCTGTAATTCACAAAACGCAAACACTGAAACTAATGTACAATTTGATGTTGTATAATTAAACTCTGTTACTGCATGAAGCAAAACAACCAGCTTTGAGGGGGGAATTACAACATTATCAAAGTTTGATTTAAAGCAAAGAAGTATAAGAAAATATGAGGTACAAGTTCATTGCAAAATAAGTATTTATACAATTACTTAACTTTTTAGAGAGAGTAGGGAAACCATCTCAATAATGTAATACAGTAGATGGAGCAAAATATCTCATTTGGCATGCTTTGGTCATGGCCAATCTGATTGGTGGAATTTTCTGTGTTGCATCATGGGTAATGTAGTTTTTTCTGCAAGAATTTTGCTAATAAACAGGACTGTTTTAAAATAAATTGCAAATAGGTTTAACAAAAACATAACTTTAATTAACAATCTAATAGCTAAGTTTTAATTAAAATTTAGTTTGAATTAAAATTGTCTTCTGGAACCTGACAGTTGAGCTCTGTAGTGAATAAAAAAAATCAGGAAGTTAAACAAGTTTAAAAAAATCAGCGTCATTTTTTCTTGGTGAGAAGCAGTGTTTGTAATAGAAAGTAGCACAGCCTGTTGTGTTTACAGTGGCAACTTCAACCTTTTTTACACAGCATACAGAGAGTGTGGGTAAATTTAACTAGCTGATGGAAAAGATGTCACTCAGAGCGTTCACACTTGTATGTGTGCTTACAGCGAGAGCGGGGGTTGACTGTCAGAAGTTTAGCGATTGAGTCAATACACAAAGCCTACTCAGAGATGGCCCTTTGCTGACTGCGCGCTTGTAAGTCTGTGGGAAATCTGCAGCAATTTAGAAAAAATGCTTTACAAATATTGCAAAGATGCTTGAATTTTGCATTAAATTCTGCAATTGCTGAATCCTAGAGGGAGAATTTCAACCAATTTTGTCTCCATAAACCTATATATAAACAACTATATACATTCAGAACTTCTTCCATCCAGTCATCCACAAAAATATATAGCCAAGCCACTGCCATATAAATATTTTTCATTTTCTAATGATCCATTGCACTTGTTTGTGTCACAATAAGTTATAACTGACCTGTTGCTCTTTATTTACATTCTGACCCTTGTATCATGTTCAAAAGCTGTGACTTCTGTGTTGTAAGACATTGCATTAAATGTAAATTACTTAAAATCAATTGATGCCCCCCCCTCTTGCCCCCAAGAGATTTGCTATATGCATTACACTAGAAAACACTGCAAATTAACAAAGAACATCTTCAATATTTTTTTTTTTTATTTGAAGCTGCCTTAAAATAAAATTAGCTGTTTAAACATTAGACTGTAAACATTAAAAATCACTATGACATATGTCATAGTATACAACTTAAATAGTGGAATTTAGGACATCGTTCAGAGCTTATCATTGTTATTGAATTTATGACATATGTCATAGTATACAACTTATTAGATTTAGTATACAACTTAGTATACAACTTAAATAGTTGTATACTATGACAACTTAAAGTCTGTGTGAACCAGAAGTTGCAGAGACCTTTAATTCAGTATGTTGATGTACCTCCAACTGAAACAGACTCTTGGGTGGGATTGGGGTTTTATTTTGCGCATTCCCTCATAGCAACCTTAATGGTAAGAGAGGATATTAAAATGCAGTTGCAATGGAAGCCTACAGGTTGACGTGTCCAAACACAAGAAAATTACCAGCGTTTTATTGAAGATTACCACCAGGGGATTAACTTCCACAGATTAATTAAGAATAAGAATAACAATGTGAGCTTGCAAAATAAATTTAGTACATTTGAATTCCAGTCCGACTTTAAAAATCAGAATATGCCAAATTGTCCTAGAACATAATGTAAGGCCAGCTTTATCGAGTGGAACAATAAAAAGTCTAAACAAACTCCTCTTGTTAGCAATAAAGCAAAACCTGCAGTTCTCATGTCATGAGTGAGGAAGAATGACATGATCTTTATAAAGAAATGTCATGCATTCACAAATCCTTATAAAACTCCAAAACCATTGGCATGAAGAAGCGCCAGAAAAACATAAACAAAAACATACTCTGAGGCCCATGTAATAACAAATTAGAAAAGAAACTTAGAAAAGTTTTTTTTTTTTTTTTTTTTTTTTTTTTAAATCTACACATACTAGGATAATTTTTTTTATTTTGAGTCACTTAAGTGTTGTGCTTTTCTCCCTCAGATCCCCAGGATGAGAATAAGATCGGGATTGACGGAATTCAGCAGTTTTGTGATGATCTCAATCTGGATCCAGCGAGCATCAGTGTTCTGGTTGTGGCATGGAAGTTTCGTGCAGCAACCCAGTGTGAATTCAGCAAGAAAGAGTTCATCGATGGCATGACAGAGCTGGGGTGAGATTTGATATCATTCATTCATTCATTTTCTTTTTAGCTTTGTCCCTTTATTAATCAGGGGTCGCCACAGCAAAATGAACCGCCAACTAATCCAGCATATGTTTTACATGGCAGATGCCAGCTGCAACCCAACACTGGGAAACACCCATACACACTCATTCACACATATAAACTATGGCCAATTTAGCTTATTTAATTCACCTATACTGCATGTCTTTGGACTGTGAGGGAAACCCACGCAAACACGGGGAGAACATGTAAACTCCACACAGAAATGCCAACGTACCCAGCTGGGGCTCGTACCAGTGACTTTCTTGCTGTGAGGTTATCAGGCTACCCACTTGGCCAACAGATGCCAAAGATTTGACATCATTACTTAAAACTGCGCACACTGTTGACAGTTTTTAGGGTGTGTGGCGGATGGGAATATCAGTAAAGGTGTACGTTTTAGATGATCACACTTTAAATGTGCTACGACCAAAACACCTGTTTCTGTGACAGTCCTCTGGCCTGAAAGCCACAGAAAATTGAGCTAATCTCAAATGCTTGATGTCTTTCAAATCCTTTTGCACATTCAGATTTGCTGAATGAAGCTGTAGTTGAAATACAGTGAGGTTTAAATTGCTCGGTATACATCTTTTGATTCTGAATGAATGACATGTGAATGAGCCTTTAATTAGACTGACAGTGAGCTTTCATTTCATCCGCAGGTGTGACAGTCCAGAGAAACTTCGAGCACTTCTGCCCAGATTAGAACAGGATCTGAAAGACAGCGGAAAATTCAAAGATTTCTATCAATTCACCTTCAACTTTGCCAAGAATCCAGGGCAGAAGGGTTTAGGTAATGACACTTTGAATTCTTTTCCCCTTCTCTTTCTGCTTCACTATGAATAAACAGTCTTATGTTTTACCATTTTAACCGTCAAACTGTCTCCATTTTAGATTTAGAGATGGCAGTAGCATATTGGAACCTGGTTCTGGCTGGACGTTTTAAGTTCCTAGACCTCTGGAACAGATTTTTATTGGTAAGTCATTACACCACTGGACTCTTGACTCTCTTTTGCACTGAAAATGAATTAAAATGGGCATTCTGGCTGCTACCAGCCATTTTAACCACATAGTGGAAGAATTTCCTTCTGCAATTAATTTAAATGCTTACTGTTTGCTATCCTTATTTTGCACAGGAGCATCATAAGCGATCAATTCCCAAAGATACGTGGAACTTGCTTCTGGATTTTGGCAATATGATTGCAGATGACATGTCAAACTATGATGAAGAAGGTGAGACTAAATGGCTAATTGGATCTTTATTGCTTGTTTTTTTAAAGAAAGAAGAATTTTAATCATGTGACATCATCCTTTTTTTAGGAGCATGGCCTGTACTCATCGACGACTTTGTGGAATATGCTCGGCCAATTGTGACGGGATCAAAGCGCAAAACTGTATAGTAATGCTACCACTGGGCGAGAACTCACGCCTTGGTCGCCTCATTGACTTTGTAGTTTTTTTAAAGACTTGTAAGCATAATAAGAGAGAACTAAGAGCAACACTTGAAACCGACAAGCTTTGCAAAAGGAAAACAGGATGGAAAAGACGCCTCAGACCTCCACGCGCCACACGGGAAGGACAAGAGTGCGAGACTCGAAATTTCTTATAGAGCCATCAAATGCACATGGCCAGCTATATTTGCACTGGCGACTCAATTCTAGCCCGAAACCTCTGGAGATTTTGGGTGGAAAACTTCGAACCTAGTACCTCATCTCCATAGCAGTCAGTGTCACTCTGTAGGGCTGAGTCCTCATTGCTTTTACCCACTTTTCACAGTCTGAATTACGGAATAGTCTCTCCAGTTTCGTTTTAGATAATGTACGCATCTGTCCGGGTGTGTATCTCATGCAGGACTTGATGCTGATCATGTCCACTTTTTATGCCAGATGTTCATGGGCAGCACAGCATGCAGCTCACAACACCAGCACTATTGTTACAGTTGTAAAATACTGTATCTACTGCAGCAGTATGTACAGAGAGAAATGTATTATCAGTGATGTTTTATTATATGAAATATGAGACATATGAAAGAAAAGCGTGGTCAAAACAAGATGCCTCCATGCCATGTTCTTGTGTGATTTTTAGGTCAAACGTGTCATCTGCCCTGTTGCGAAACTTGTAACAAACACGGTTCAGTGTTACTCTTTCTTTCTTTTCTTTTCCTTTTTTGTTTTGTTTACCAGATTTATGTTAAAGAAATAAATTATTGCCCTTTATGTTCTTCTCAATCTTTAACATCCCTCTTATTCGTTAACAGAACACAATTAATAGTGTTTACTTTGAAACATTCTCCCGTCGATATCAGAAAGTCGACACACTCATTCACTTCATGAATCACAATACTTATGCAAAGCAAAGTTCTAAGCACATTAGGTTTGCACCAAACATGCAGGACATTGAGGATCATTTTAGTGTCTTCAGAACGCAATTTTCTACTAAAAGCTTTCAGGTCTGGCATGTGGTTTCTAGCTAAATCCATGCATGCTGTAATGTTGATCTTTTTTCAGAAGTTGTGTCTTTCTTGCCAAAGGGTGTGCCAAATCTGCAGTGCCCAAAATATTGATGTCAGCCAAAATGCTCTGCAATGTGGTCAGTGCTGTAGCTGGCCTTTTGGTCACCCGTATGATGTCTTTTTTTTTTTTTTTCGTTTCTTAGTTAGGCCTGGAATTTGCCCAGATTTGTGTTACTCTAAATGCATTGTTTAGGATTATTTGGAGCTTTTCCAATATCAACACAGCTATTCTACCTTTTTAAAAATCCTTAAGTTCATCCTAAAGTTACACATCAGAGGCAGATATTTTGCTTTTAGTGAATTTATTGCATTGTACAGAGGTGGGAGTGAAGTTAAATTAGATAATTCCTGAATAGTTATCTTAATTTAGTGGATTTAAAACCAGCATAATTTTTGTACGGCTTTATTATGTTGTGCACGGGTTTTATTTTGCCTGACACCATCGACGGAAAGAAAGTCTTGTGGCTCTGAAACAACGTGATGGTGAGTAAATGATGACAGAAGTTTTATTTTGGGTGATGTATTATTTTAATGGCGGAAATTAATGTCATTTCACCGTGTACCACAAGAGAGTGCCAATGTGTTTATAAACCAAATAATGCTTTACGTTCTTTTTTGAGAGCTTTTATGTATTACTGTTTGCGTTTATGTATGTAATAATATTATTATTCTGTAACATGTATTTTCACTGAAATCTGCATTTTTTTTCTTACGTTGTTGCTCCCAAAGCATATACAAATATTAAAAAATGACGGAACTTCACAAAACCCGTGTTTCCTCACGGAGTGTTATCAACGCAACACGGGTTTTATGCTAACCGCGGGCTTCAATCTGCACACAGAGGAACACTCACAAAAGCCATTTTTAATCATTTGCATTTGACAAGAATGCCATTATTTTGTATTTGACAGACAGTACAACCATCATGAATCTTGACAGGCTTCGTAAAAGAGTGAGACACTACATTGATCAGGTAAGAAAGGGCAGTGAATTTAGCACAACCAGTGTAGCTTCAATTTGCACACCAAATTAGATTTGATCAATGCATGAGACTTTAAAGCTGAGTATATTATATTACACAATCGGAATATTACATAAAGAGTAAGCTAAATAGTTTGTGTATTGAATTGTGAACAAATTAGTACATTTTGTAAAGTTAGCCAGTTGACTTTAATGCTAACATGTTTGAATACTTCTTAAATCACATTTAAATAGCGTAAGTATTGGTTATTAACATCTAGAGCACCCTGTTGTTGTGGGTTAATTAATGTTCAAGAACAGACACGTAATATTACCTTTATAGGGCCCTGTGTATATCAGAATAATTGAATCACTGTTTGATGGCTGATTAAAACTCGTCGGTTCTTAATAGTGAACATATAAACGTGATTTATGGCTGTAATTGTTTGAATGATCTGTTTTATAGCAACAGTATCAAAGTGCTCTCTTCTGGGCCGACAAAATAGCATCCCTGTCACATGGTGAGTATTATCTTGAGTACTGTCAAGTTTGAAGTAGCTAATCTAGATGTGTCTTTAGTAAAATGCATCTTATGTTTCATTACATTGAACTAAAGGCATATTTTATTCTCTTACAGAGGATCCTCAAGATATTTATTGGTTAGCACAGTGCCTTTATTTGACAGCACAGTATCACAGAGCCTCTCATGCGCTCAGATCTCGCAAACTTGACAAGGTAAGATACTTTGGACTAAAGGAAGAAACCATTTAAATTGTGATGTATTTCTAGATCTAGAAATCGCAGTGCAAAAGCATAACCCAGTCAAATAAATGTACAAATGTATTTTGTTGCTAAAAGGCGTAGAATGGAGTAAGCAAATTTTATTCATGGTTAAGGGATTTTTTTTTTAGAAAAGGTATAAAATGTCATAAATAATTTTTTGTTTACGCTTCTCAGTTGTATGGGGCCTGTCAGTATCTAGCTGCAAGATGTCATGTGAGTATTTACATTATTTCCCTGCATGTGTTTTCTTTTATGCATTGATATACAATGTGCAATTTCAAAGTACAATGTCTGTGTTAGAGACAAAATTGGTTTTTGAGGTCCTGAAACAATAAACGTAAAATACAGCTATATTTGGGACTTGTGGAGCTGTGCATAGATGAATTTTTTCTTCAGTGTTTGAACTTTCAGCAGTGAAAATTAAACCACACTGAACTAAACTTTAAATCTGAAATCTGGACTGACACTGTTTCAATTTACCAGAACTTCTATCTTAAGCTGCTTTGACACAATCTGCATTGTAAAAGTGATATAGAAATAAAGATTAATTAAATCGTATATTTGGCGAGGCAGTGGCGCAGTAGGTAGTGCTGTCGCCTCACAGCAAGAAGGTTGCTGGGTCGCTGGTTCGAACCTCGGCTCAGTTGGCGTTTCTGTGTGGAGTTTGCATGTTCTCCCTGCCTTCGCGTGGGTTTCCTCTGGGTGCTCCGGTTTCCCGGCAGTCCAAAGACATGCGGTACAGGTGAATTGGGTAAGCTAAATTGTCCATAGTGTGTGAATGTGTGTGTGGATGTTTCCCAGAGATGGGTTGCGGCTAGAAGGGCATCCGCTGCGTAAAAACTTGCTGGATAAGTTGGTGGTTCATTCCGCTGTGGCGACCCTGGATTAATAAAGGGACTAAGCCGACAAGAAAATGAATGAATGAATAAATCATATATTTTACAGGAGTTTAAAGTACAGGAGACCTTCAGTGTAACAAAAATGCTATCAGGCATAATTCAAACAGAAATTATTTTATAGGATTTCAGTGCAGCCACACAATACTCAGTAAGTGTCAGTTGAAATCTTTATACTTGACCGATATCCTTGAAATGACTGGATTTTAGTAGTTTGTCAGCAAGAAAGTGAATTTTATGCTTGTATAAAAAAAATTATCTAATAAAAATTTGTATTATTACTTAATATTTAAATATAACATTAACTATGGGTTGAAATAAGCATGTTATTTAATTTTTACATGCTTTTGTCTGATACACATGGCATTAAAAAAAAAAACATACTATAATGAGCCGACTCTTATCCTTTTGATTAGCATTATTTCTTTTGGGTTGTCCAGTTTAATTCACAGAATTTCTACAAAGTATTTTGTAGACTGTAAACTTGCAAACCTTTTTGGTCACATCCATTACGCATGCTTGCTTATTTTCCTCAAACTATAAAAATGTTTGATTTTTTTAAATATTATAACTCAGTAGGTAGTTGTTTTGGAAAATTAAAAACTGATGTTTCAATATAATATTAACACGTTCTTTTTTTATTTATGTTGTGAAGTTTTACTGCAAATGTCACATCCATATCGCTGGAATAGTAATAGTTATTTCTACATTAAATCAGACTTTTAGCTTGCATTAACTTTGTTTTTTAAACATAGAAAGCCACTTTTGTTAATGAAATTTTGTGCAAACTTCTAAATGGGGTTGTAAAACATGAAATGGAATTTACATAGTAAATATAAGCATAGCTGAAAGTACCATTATAGTATTGACAGCTAAAAGCTTAATCATAGAAGCCAAAGTTTGTATTAAATAAACATCTGAATGAAGATATAAATTAGAGGCATTTTTTTTTTGAAAATGTTAAAAAGTAAATCTGTGATCAGACTATGAAATGTTTTGGTTTTTTCCAGTATGCTGCCAAAGAATATCAACAAGCTCTGGACATACTGGACATGGAGGAAGCAGCCAGTAAAAAGTTATTGGACAAGAATTTAAAGGAGGAGAATGGCTCAAGGGAAATTGTAAAAGATTGGGAAATGTCCCCTGCCTCAGTGAGTCCAACACTTGTGTTTTTTTTTTTTTTTTTGGCACCATGCTTAATTAGAAATGGAGCCGGTTGCTCTGAGCTTCTAAATAAACGCAGTATTTGAATGGCAGAACAGCAGTTGACTGGATCTTTTACTCACTGTGGCCTTTCTCTCAGATCAATAGCTCCATCTGTCTCCTGCGGGGGAAGATCTATGATGCCATGGACAACAGACCCCTGGCCACGTCTAGCTACAAAGAGGCCTTGAAACTAGATGTCTACTGCTTTGAAGCCTTTGACCTTTTAACGTCCCATCACATGTTGACCGCTCAAGAGGGTGAGAGACATTGTTCATGGCTACATTCTAGGCGTATCATTTAACTTGAAACATCTAGTGTTTTGGATTGCCTTCCAAAAACAAATTGTAACAAATTGATATAAATTCCCATACACTATGCAGTTGAAGAGCTCAGATGCAAAAGCCACTAAGTGCTGTGTGGAATTTTTCTAAAATGGTCCTTTTTGTCATGTATGTATGTAGGTGCAGTTATTCAAGAGATATTCAAGTTTCACCAAGTCAAATTTCCGACTTAAACAGGGTTAAACACTTAGCATTTTTTTTCTAACGGACAGTAGAAAATATTTTTGATTGTCCCCTCCAAAAACATCCACAATTTTGCCACATATTTTAAGTGATGTGTCAAAAGAAGCAAACTTTGGTTGCATACATAGACTTAAAAAAATGTGGTGGTTAATTTTATTTTTGTGGGGGTGATACAGTGGCTCTGTCACCTCACAGCAAAAAGTTTACTAGTTCAAGTCCTGGCTGGGTCAGTTAGCATTTCTGTGTGGAGTTTACTTGTTCACATGGGTTTCCTCTGAATGCTCCGGTTTCCCCCACAGTCCAAAGACATGTGGTATAGGTGAATTAAATAAACTAAATTGGTTCTAGTGTATGTGTGTGAATAAGGGTGTATGGATGTTTCCCAGTTCTATGTTGTAGCTGGAAAGGCATCCGCTGTGTAAAACATATACTGGATCAGTTGGTGGTTCATTAAGATGATGAATAAAGGGACTAGGTTAAAGGAAAATGAATGAATGAATTTTACTTTTGTTAAAGGTTTTATTGAAATGTATTGTTGATGATTGGACGAGTGTTGGCCTGAAAACTTAAAAAACTTAAAAAATTAAGATCTGTTTTAAATGATTTAAAACCTACAAGACAATATTTCTGTGAATTTAAGACTATTTACGGCCTAAAATAAAATGTTTCATCTTTTAAGATTTTTTAAGACTCTACGGATACCCTGGTTATTTCACTTTTATGCCATGAATAGGTTCTTTTTCTTGCTCTTAAAGAAAAAAACACTGAACATTAACAACAAAGTACCACTGAGTAGTCAGAGGGGAAAATGCTCATTTTAGAAGAATATTTTAGACGGCGCTTACAGGCTTTTGCTTCTGACCTTTTCAGTTTCAGTTGTTGATACTTGAATGAAACTGAAATGAAAAGTTAGATTCTATGAATGTTCGAATTGATCAGGAAATTCCATAATATGCAGAACTTGTTGGCTTTTTAGAGAAGTAAATGCTAAAAAAGGGGATTTCTTATAGGGATGATAAATATGAATTTTATTATGTAGTTTATAAGTTTTTAAAAGGCTTCTCTGTGTACGATATTAGCTGAGCAAATCCTAAGACAGAGTACTAAATCTTTTCTGTGTAGTTTTATACTCATGCTGGGTTCGGTTGCTTGTCCGTGTTTTTGTAATGTTTAAATTAGAAGTTCATAACTAAAGAACATAAGATGGAATAAAATGTGTGTCCTAATTTAAAAAATCACTTCAGATGAAATGAATAAATGCTTCAACAAATGCTTAATGTATTCAATGTTATCTCATTGTAGAAAAAGATTTCTTGGATTCTCTGCCATTAAGTCAACAATGCACAGAAGAGGAAGTGGAGTTGCTGCATTTCCTGTTTGAAAACAAGTTAAAGAAGGTAAGAGCATTTCCATTCCATGTAAAACCTTGTGTGGTCATTTCTGAACACATGATGTAGACAACCTGCGTATCATAGAAAGCTTCTGGAAACTATTGTGGTGGTTTTGGCACACCCTGATTTTGGTTTTGTGTATAAAAATAACATGCACAAATTACTCTGAGAGCTTGAAGTACCTGTTTATTCAAGCAGTGGTTTTGAAGTGTCCTCTAAAGTGCTTATCAGCAACTCTCCTTTTCCAGTATAACAAACCTAGCGAGATGGTGGTCCCAGATATAGTCAACGGTCTTCAGGACAACCTGGATGTTGTCGTCTCCCTTGCAGAGCGACATTATTACAACTGTGACTTCAAAATGTGCTACTCTCTTACGTCAATGTAAGTCTGCCAAACATGCGGTGGTTTCCAGGGTTTGGTTTGGCATTCATGGAGTGTTTTTGTTTTATAATATAATCTTCTTCTATCTAGGGTTATGGTGAAAGACCCATTTCATGCCAACTGTTTACCGGTGCACATAGGAACCCTTGTAGAGCTGAGCAAAGCAAATGGTATGATACTAAAAAGTAATTGAGCTTTCGTTAAAATGTTGATTGATTGTTTCTTTATTTAACATCTTTTTATTGACCCCATGTTGTCTTTTTAGAGTTGTTTTACCTGTCTCATAAACTGGTGGATTTGTATCCTAGCAATCCAGTGAGTTCTCTTTTTAAAGATGAGTTCTTGCTAAGTTTCACTTGACTGTTTCTCAATAGCTGTGTTTCTGTAAACCTCTCCAAGGTTTCATGGTTTGCTGTTGGATGTTACTACCTCATGGTTGGACATAAAAATGAACATGCAAGACGCTATCTCAGGTATGACTGTATGTAGTAGCTTTGTGGATCACCGTTTAACGTTTGTTATCAGAATACATTTTTTGTATCCTTGAAGAAATCCATTCTTGTATAGATATTTTTGGCTTTCAGTTTTTGGTAATATCTCTTGGGTTAAAGCTTGGAAATTGACATAATTTTTGCATAAATAACAGTATCTATATTTTATTATAATTTCATATACAGTCTATAGGTCCATAAATATTTGGACGGACACAATTCTAAAATTTTGAAATGAAACGAACAAGATATGCTTCAACTGCGGTCTATTAGCTTCAATTTGAGGTTATTCATCCCAATCAGGTGAACGGTGTAGGAATTACAACTGTTTGCATTTGTGCCTCCCACTTGTTAAGGGTCCAAAAGTAATAGGAAAATACCATATACTTAAGAAAAAGTGGGCTCAATGTAAATAAACTTTCCCCTTTTTGTGTATGACTTCAAATTTTATGTAATTTGTTTGAACAATCACAAAACAAAAAAGCACTGAAAACATGCAATGCTCTGAAAACATTTTGTTTCATGTAAATTTATATATATCTTTATATATTTTTTTCTTTTTAGAAAAATGTGAAATGTAATATCTCTTGTTTTTGAGGCTTTGAACTATGAAAAAAAAAGAAATCTGTTCTTGTATTCAGCAAGGTGCATTATAGGAATAGTTTACCCAAAAGTAAAATTTACCCTCAAGTGGTCCTTTTTTCCACTTTGTTGAAAACAAAAAAAAAAAAGATAATTAGAAAAGTCATGGTAACCAGTACCCATTGACTTCTAGAGTAAAAAAAAAATATAGAAGGCAGTGGCTACTGGTTTCAAGCAGTCCTCTTTTGTTTTTCGAAGAAAGGAAAAAAAACAAGTTTGGAACTGAATATGGAGGACTCTTTTAAAAGCCTTTTAAATTGTGCATTTAAATCTATTAAAATGGTCTATAAATAAACGTCTTTTGATAAATCAGTGTTTTAGAACAGCAATTAAGCAAACATTAAATTAAGCAGTTATAAAATTGTCTGTTTATTTATACATTTAAAAGGTATTTTTTAAATGCATTGTTTTATTGCTTTATTAAATGCCATTTAAATACTCAATTTAAATATGTCTATTTGTCCATTTTTTTATTTATTTAAATACAATTGATTTATTTAAATACAATTGTATGCTTTAATTATAAAATTGATTATTTGATTCTTTATTTTATTTCTAACTGGCACTCCTGGTCCTCCATACATTAGTGAATGAAAACTGAAATAAACATTTTGAGTAAGATACACAATTAATTAGAATTGACTAAGTTGCAAAAATGTTTATGGTAAATAAATACTGTTCCAATGAACCTTTTATTCATAAGGTAATTCTAAAAAAGGTTTCAATACAAATATTAAGCAGTACAATTGTTTTTATTGATGATAGTAACAATCTTTCTTGAACACCAACTCAACACATTGTGTGATTTCTGAAAGAGATTGAAAAATATACTATACCTTATACTATATATTATTTATTGTTGTTGATATTTTTTATTGTTCTGAATCTATGTATTATAGAAATGTGCTATTTATAAACTGTTTGTCAATTTGATCCGTTTTGCCAGAAATTAAAGCTGAAATGACAATAAACTCTAAACTCGTATGATATTAAAGACAAGAGTAATGTTCTTGAAAATTTAGCTTTGCATAAACCAGAAATTAACTGGAAAAACAGCTCTATTAAAATTGTACATTATTACTATTTTAACAATATTTCAGTTCGAAAAATAACACGACAGAAAGTGTCACGTCTCATAAAACTCACATAATGTCTAATATAAAAAAAAACATAAAACAAGTGAACTAGCATAACAATATCATAACCTTTTGCTCTATTATAGAAATGCACAAAAAAAATGAGGGGAAAAACTGAAACATTATTGTCATTTTCCGGAAACATTTCTGTGGTAAATCTGAGAAAACACTTTGTAAGGCAGACGGTAGATTTAAAACTGATGTAACTTGTGGCTAATGTAAAAATCCCCTCCACAGTAAAGCCACCACTCTGGAGCGCACGTACGGCCCAGCGTGGATTGCATACGGCCACTCGTTCGCGGTAGAGAGTGAACATGACCAGGCCATGGCTGCATACTTCACCGCAGCACAGCTTATGAAAGGGTTTGTACACCTGTCAGTTTTTTAGGCCAACTACTTGTAATTTGGCTTTTGTCATATTTTTAAACTGAAAAATCAACATTCTGGTTTTGCAGATGTCACCTGCCAATGCTGTACATCGGTCTAGAGTATGGACTCACTAATAACCCAAAGCTGGCGGAGCATTTTTTTAGTCAAGCCCTCAGCATCGCACCCGAGGACCCCTTTGTCATACATGAGGTGGCTGTGGTTGCCTTCCAAAATGGAGAGTAAGTGATGAAAAAAACATTCACACTTATTCAGCAGTGGTTTGTGGTTGTATACAGTTTTTTTTCTTGACGAGTTATGACTTTTTGTTTTGTGTTGCAGTTATAAAACATCTGAGAAGTTGTTTCTAGATGCTATGGAGAAGATCAAAGCCATTGGAAACGAGGTAACCGTCCACTCCATTAGGACGTAACTTTATGATAAAACAATTAAAATGACTTTTTCCTTTAATTTCCAATAGGCAAGTCATTTTCTAGTGACTGTTCTGTAGCATGTTAGTTTTACTTACTTGGGTACATGGGAGAAAATGGTTACTAAAAATGTTTCCGAATATCCTAATGTATTATTCTTTTCTCCAGGTGACAGTAGACAAATGGGAGCCGCTCTTAAACAATTTGGGTCATGTGTGTCGAAAATTGAAGTAAGTTGAAAATCCCGATTGAATGGTGCATTTTAGTTTTTAGTACATTTTTATGCATTTGTGTTTTTGCTTTTCTCATTCAGTTTCTAAATGTTAAAATGTTTAGTCTGTGAGATAAAAAATTAAATAAAATGCTAATCTTTTAGTTTTATAAACATCTGATAACATTTTTTGCAAATTCTAAATAAAACTTTTGTTATTTAGAGCATTTTTTTTTCTCCAGAAAATGATGGTCAAAAATGGCATGTGTTTCCCAAACAACAATGCAACTTTTGACTGAACTATTATTGTATGATGCATCGTTTGGAAAAAGAACGTAATGAGTGATTCCCAAAACAGTAGTTGCTTTGTCGCAGATCCATCTTTTGAATCACGTTAGTTATAATGTAGAACGTCCATAATGATGTTCTAAATAAGGTGGAGTAACAACTACTTTAGAGAAAAATCCCATAATTTTTGTGTGAATTATATTGTTTTACAGGCACTTGCATTTTTTCTTTCCAATATTAGTTTTGGTAAAACATGCACTCATTTTCAATTTTAATTGAAATATATTTAAATGGCACATATAGGGCCAATGTTTCCATTACATATATTATTGAGTATATTGCACATTCTATTCTAAAACATAAAACCACTTGGGTAACACGTGTCATAATCTCATATATAAGTCATAAAATGTTAATGTAATTTACAGCAAGCTATTTATTAAAAAATAAAAAAATCTTACTTAATAAAAATAATTATTTTTTTCTTCTTCTTAATAATAATAATATTATTATTATTAAATAGAACATTGTTTTATACATTTTTTTCAAAAAAAAATCTCCGATTTCTATTTTTAACATTTGTTTTTCATTTTTTTTATTACAACTTTGACAAATTCAAACCACTGCATAAATGTTCTAACCAACAGGCCCATGTCATATACAGTACAGTTAATTTTTTAAAATAAATAGCCTGCTATAAATTAAAACCATTAATGTATGCTATATATTTTTTGAGGTGTAAAGTAAATTCCGCTTTTAAATCTTGTTCACTGGAACAATGAATTTAGGAAATGCCAAACCAGCAAACTATGTTTGTAACAACAAAACTTGTGACCTTAGTTGGCTAACGATGATTTAGGGAAATGCACCCCTGATTAACAAAGGTTTTGATTTGCTGTGATTGAAAATATTGAAAATTTAAGATATTTATTACTTAATCTTCTAATCTTCTAAATAAAATACCTAGTATTGTGTTGTCTAAAAATGTATATAAATTTCTGACTTTTTTTGTTATTTAATGCAACGAATGCTCTAAATAACATTTTTGTATTAAATTCTGAAGAAATGCAATCAGTAGCTTAAGCAAACTAAAACAAACAAAAAATGCAATTCAGGTTTACCATCACATGAATACATTACACTTAAACACATAGCAAAAAAAGGGGAAAAGTGTATTATTAGATTAATATGAACATTATCAGCTTCATATGATCAAATATATTTAGCCCTGCTGAGCATAAAAGACTTTAAATCAAGCCCAAACATTTGAATGGAGAGTGTATATAAACTTCAGTTGTGCTAATTATTCCTGCTTACCTCAATATATCCCTATTTAAAATAGATTGTGAGCCATAGTGGTGTGCTAACGTGGAATCATGGCTAAGGAGTGTGCGCTTCTAAAATTGTCTCAAGTGGTATTTTAATGAAGAGCATGAATGGGTGGTCATGGTCACATTGCATCCCTCCTGTTGTGCGTCTTGTTTTCTCCACTTTAATAGAGTGCTTGTTTTTGTTCTGTCACTCTAGTGTTTGATGAATTATGCATGTCCATCCACTGGATATCAAAGGACTCACAATTCACACTTGAAGTTCATTCCACTCAAGAGTCTTTAGCTTTTAATGGCGGTCTAATTCTTTCTTTAATGTTTGTTTGCTTGGACTATACAGTGCTCAACTTAAATGAGCACACCTCAGTTTAAAAATGAATATTTTTATTAATTTCTCAGTGAATATAGATCATATATTTTGGTGCATTTGAACCAAATAGATTTATTAAATGAATATATTTATTAAAATAATATTTTAGTCATGGAGCATCTTTAGAATTAGAAAGATAATTCATTTAAATTCATGCAAAATATTGAGAAAACAAATTACAAACTACAACAACTAAAAAAGTTTTCACATTTTTTTGTTTCTCTTGAATTTTGCTCTTTTTACATGTTTTATTTAAGATTTTCCTCTGACACAAATTGGGTGTAGTAATTTTGGACCGTTATCGTAAGTTATTTTGTTAGATTAGCTCTAGATTTGGCTTCTGTACTGACTAAACTAATGTATAGTGTACAATTTGGTATCGGTTCAGTAATAGATCCTAACCGATTATAACATAATGACGTCATTTATAAGGGTGTCACGATCCTCCAAATCCTCAATTCGATTACATTTTCGATTCTAAAGGCACGATTCGATTCGATTTTCGATTATTAATAATTAATTAATTAATGACCAATTGCATTGTCTTTGTTTTACATATAAACAAATCATACAGTAAATAAATAAAGGCAAGATACACACATAATTACCACCTGTCAATCACTTTTTCTGCGGGACTCGTGAATAGGCAGTGATCTGTGTCGTTATAATGGCGTCGGTAAAAAAAGACGCACAACCAACAGGAACCAGCCAACAGTATCTGAGGTGTGCGCTAAAATGACTAAGTACATGTGAGTGAAAGATTGAAGCAGTCCTCTGACTGCCTGGACCTGCTCTCTCGAGCGCATGGCTGCGAGTGCGTCTGTGTCTGTGTGGTCACGTGATGTGCATTTTCAGAGATAGAGAGGAAGGAGGGCTGCTCAGAAATGCTACACGTCACTGTGGATGTCAAATTGTTGTCGTTCTAAAATGCCATTTAAAAACAAAGACAGTGTAAACAGGGCCTGAGTGTGTACTTTTCGCGAGCGGATTTGCAACGGGGGCGGGCGGAGGATGGCGATGCCGGTTTTGTCTATCGGACGAACCGTATGTAATACGTACATAGCAGAGCTTGCAAAACTGTGTTTTTTTTGTCGACAACACGAACGTTGTCAACATAACTCACTGGAAATCCAAAATGCTTGCACACCGGCGACTTCATTAAAAGAGGAGAGGGTTTAAGTTCTGTCGACGGGTCTCCTGCTTCTGCAGTTTAACAAGCACTTCAACAAGCCGTTTTTTTCCCGCTTGGCAAGCCAAGCTGACGTGACATGGGGGCGTGGCAGCATTGACGATTCTATTTTTTGATTCGATAATCGAAATTGAGCATAAATTTCGATCGATTTTGATTAAAAATCGAAATCGTGACAGCCCTAGTCATTTATCTCATATGTGCGATGTCAAGGTAGAATACTATGGCGAAGGAGGTAAGAGCGAGTAATTAAAATGCAGAAACTGCACAATTCACTGACCCTGAAGTTACAGCAGAACCCCCTATTTCACTGCTATGCAGAAAATGAAAGTAAACTCCATTTCTCTCTCTCACTCTCTCTCTCTCTCTCTCTCTCTGTGGCTCTTTTGATTTGCTGCAGTGAGGTAACTTATCCTTTCTTCTCGGCTGTTGTTGCAATTCTTGTGGATATAAACTTGGGAGTGTCTGCACAGCGACTTTTCTCCACCACGTGTATCATGGATCAGCTGTGATCACTGCATACATTTATCAGTGTCAGTTATCGGTGAACATTGCCAGCGCGTTAGAGCCTATCGCAGCCCTTTCTGTTGAGCACATGATCAATCATAGGCGTTTAATAACTCGCTCTACGACGATCAAAAAGCAAGTGGGATAAAATTCACATTTGTTTATTTGTTAGAAATGCTCATATTGTTAATAATATATAATGTATGTATGTATATATGTGTGTGTGTGTATGTGTGTATATATATATATATATATATATATATATATATATATATATATATATATGTATGTATGTGTGTGTGTGTGTGTGTGTGTGTATATATATATACACATATACATACCACAGCCATATCACCCTGCAGCCCAAGACCGGTTACTCACTGAAGCTAAGCTGGCCTGAGCCTAGTTAGTACCTGGATGGGAGACCACTAGGGAACACTAGGTTGCTGTTGGAAGTGGTGTTAGTGAGGCCAGCAGGGGGCGCTCAACCTGTGGTCTATGTGAGTCCTAAAACCCCAGCAAAAGTGAAGGGGACACTACACTGTCAGTGGGCGCCGTCTTTCAGATGAGACGTTAAACCGAGGTCCTGACTCTCTGTGGTCATTAAAAATCCCAAGGCACTTCTCGTGAAAGAGCAGGGGTGTAACCCCGGTGTCCTGGCCAAAGTCCCTCTATCGGCCCTTACGATCATGGCCTCCCAATCATCCCCTTCCACCGAATTGGCTCTATCACTGTCTCTCCACTCCACCAATAGCTGATGTGTGGTGAGCGCACTGGCGCCGTTGTCCTGTGGCAGCCGTCCCATCATCCAAGTGGATGCTGCACACTGGTGGTGGTGGTGTGAAGAGACCCCCCCTCATGATTGTGAAGCGCTTTGGGTGTATGGCCATACACAATAAATGCATTATATAAATACACATTACATTACATATATATATATATATATATATATATATATATATATATATATATATATATATATGTATATGTATATATATATATATATATGTATGTATGTATATATTATTTATAAAACAATAATTATTGTGCTGTGAAGTAAAATATAAATATATAAGTTTGTGTATGGAAGGTATTGTCAGTGCACCTTGATGTTATCGAATTGAACTGAATCAATGGCATGATAATCGTAAATGAACCAAACCATGAGACCAGTGTAGGTTCACACCTCTATTAATGTATTTGCACAAATATAAAATTGTAAAGCTTCCTATAGAAATTATTAATTTAAATGAGGTTTGTGAGGGGTGTACTCACGTTATATAGGCTGAGCGCTTAATCAATATAAAGATTGGTTTAAAATAGAAATGACAGTTTTATTTATATCATTGTCAGATCAAAATGTATAATTAAATAAGTATAATTAAATAAACAAAAATTTGTTTTGTAGATTTTTGAAGCCTTATTTGTGCAATTTGTAGTTGGAAATGTCCTTTTGGCACTACAGTTTTGATTTCAGATTTGTTTTTATTCAGCCGATTAAAAGTGTTTATTATGCTACAAAAGATTTTTATTTCAAATAAATTGTTAATATATTCATGTTTCTTGGTTTTCACAAAAATCTTAGGCACAGGTTTTTCAACACTGATCATAATAAATTTTAGTTCTAATTTCAGGAACATTTCAGCTAAGCCCTCACTGTTTTAATATGTAGAAATATGAATCTTATTTTAAATAGTGGCAGTTCTTACCATATTATTGTTCAGTTGAATGCAGCAATTAAATCTATTGTCAAGCTTGTCTATCGTTTATAAGTTGAGATGTACAATATGCAAAAGCTGCAAACATGTCCCTGATTCCCACACTATAAATATGGGAAGTCATTACAAATACACAGTGTTTAGATTCTAAAATAAAATCGACTTTTTGATTACAATGGATTCAAAATAACTGTCCGCTGCTCATGTTGCAAGTTTGTCTAGCCATTTATCTGTTGCAGTAGACAGAAATCAGGTCAATGATTGCTTTCATCTTGCTTGTGTAGGAAATACGAACAGGCTCTTGAATACCACAGGCAAGCTTTGGTTCTCATCCCACAGAATGCCTCAACTTACTCAGCCATCGGTTATGTGCACAGCCTCAAGGGAGATTTCGAAAGCGCCATTGACTACTTTCACACTGTGAGATCACAAATCATTACATTGGTCAGTTTTAAAATGAATAATGGCTTTATTGTACTAAAACCAGATTTTCTTTTGTTTTAGGCACTTGGACTAAAAAGAGATGACACGTTTTCTGTCACCATGCTGGGCCACTGCATTGAGATGTATATCAGCGATTCAGATGCTTACATTGGTGAGATCATACAATAAATTTATTAAAGTGCTAGGGCAATCCAAAATATATATTTTTTAAATCAAGTATTTATCTTCATTTCATTTCAAACTATTTGGTCAAGAAAAGAGATATGAGAGGTTGCTGCTTCCCAAATAAATGTTTGATTACATAAAACTCTGATGCTTCAAAACAATTCAAAGTCAATTTAATATCAGTTTGTTTGAGTGGTTTAGTACAACTCTTCTGAAGAGACATGTCAGACATGAAAATGTAATATTCTGTCATCCTTTACTTATCCTGTACTTGATTCTTTTTTATTTATTTATTTTTAATTATGTGTTTATTGTTAACCCTCAATTAAGTACAATCATACAATATTTCAAGGTACATTTGAATCTCAGTATGGGACCCTAAGTGACATTCAATTCACATACATTATTGTCAGGTGTACTTACTAAACATTGTACTCAAATTTTGATAAATTATAAGAAGAAAAATAGCATTAAAACAAAAGAACATTATACAAATTAAAAGACTATTCACATCCAGTGTGAGAACGCATGTATTATTCCTTCCAGAAAAATCTCAACAGACCACCTTGTGTGTATGTGTGTATATATATATATATATATATATATATATATATACACCATAACTATAACCATATGCGTATACACGCATTAGGATGTATCTCAGTTGAGCATCTTCTGTTTGTTTATAGCAACAAAACATGAAGAACATGAGAGAGAGAGAGAGAGAGAGAGAGAGAAAGATGAGACTATTTTCATTATGACTAGAGTAAAGTGCCTGTTCATCCCCCAATTTGGGATTAAATCAATTATTCACCCTCATGTCATTTCAGACTATTTGGTCAAGAAAAGAGATGCGAGCGGTTGCAGCTTCCCCCTTATATCTGATCACATAAAACTCTGATGTTTCAAAACAATTTTAAAAAGTCAATTGAATATCAATTTGATGTTAGTGGTTTAGTACAACTCTTTTGAAGAGACATGTAAATTTAAATGATAAACAGATTTAAAGGGATAGTTCAGCCAAAAAAATTTAAATCAGTCATCCTTTACTCACCATATTCTTGTTTCAAACCTTTATTTTTCTTTTTTTGTGTTGGACACAAAGGGAGATATTTTGAAAGATGTTGGAAACTTGTAACCATTGACTTCCATAGTATTATTTTATATATTATTTGGAAGGCTTCAGGTTTTCAGCTTTTTTCAAAATATCTTCCTTTGTGTTTACCAGAATAAAGAAACCCATAAAGGTTTGTAACCACTTGAGGGTGAATAAATAAATAAATAAATAGAGTAAATTTTTGGATTAATAATATTCATTACATGAAGTAATCATATCTCTTCAGAGCTCCTCGTTTTATATGGATTTTGGTTAAAAATAATTCAATGGGATATTATAGGGATCCAATTTGATTAAAAGTTTCACTTGTGTTCCAAAGGTCAATGAAAGTCTTATGGGTTTGGAAGAACATTAAAGTGAGGAATGAGATGATTTTCACTTGGACTAAACTAACACTTAAGGCAATAGTTTACCCAAAAATGAAAATTATTATTCATTTCTTACCCTCATGTTGTTCCTATGAGACCTTCATTTCTCTTCGTATAACAAATTAAGAGAGCTTCCGTCATCTTCCAATGGTCAAAAGATGTTAAAAGTCACTCTATCAGTGGTTTAACTTTAATCATATGAAGCTCCAAGAATATTTGTGCGTGACAAAAACTGTAAAAATGACTTTTTGGTTCCTTTCCTGGACTTTGAACAGCTCCGGACTGTTGCTGTTTACGGAGGATAAGGGAGCTCTCCGATTTCATCTAAAACATAGGTCTCAAGCTGGATTCCTGGAGGGCTGCAGTTCTGCATAGTTTTGCTCTGACCCTAATCAAACACAGGAACTAATAAAAATCTTCAAGATTACTAGAGACTATTAAGCAGGTGTGAGTTGGCGATGGTTGGAGCTAAACTATACAGCACCATGCAGGAAACTGAGTTTGAGACCATTGATCTAAAATTGTAATCAGATTAATGAAAGTCTCAGGGGTTTGGAACTAGATGAGGGTGAATTATTAGTAACAGAATGAATGTTTTAGGGTGTACTAACCCTTTAAGTTGTCTTTTGTTTTTGTAGGAACTGATATAAAAGACAAAGTGAGAAAGACTCTCAACACACCTGCACTAATGAAGATGCTCAACACTTCTGCCGACGGCAACGAGAGCAGAGCACAACCCGTAGAAGAAGTAAACGTGTGCATAGAAACGCCATCATTCAATGCGGACAAACAAACCGATGCTTTTCAGCGCTTCCTCTTAGAATGTGACATGCATGAGAGCGACATGATGCTGGAGACGTCCATGTCTGACACCAGCACATGATTTGAGACCTGTAAACGGCTCAAAGAGGAACTTAAAGCATGAAATGATGAAAGAATGTGATGCAGACGAGGACGTGACACTCCCTCCCTCCTCCTCCACCTCGATCGTGTCCTCTGTGTTGGACCCCTGTGGATTTTTTTACTATGAATAAATGTAAAGAAGTGAATGCAAAAGGGTTCGAATGATTTAATCAATAAACCCTGCATCCATATTTTTACACCGATTCGTGTATTCTCATTGGTGCTCTGTTGTGGACGAGGCTGCACAAAATGTGGTTTTTACAGTGCCAATCAGACATGAGCATCTGCTGCCAGTTGCATTTATGTTTAAAAGTCCCTGACTTCTGTCAACCAAAGGAAATTACTTGCAGCGACTTTGGTTGTGTTACCAGTTATCTCAAATCTGTGCATCCGCAGTAGAGAAGGGAAAAAAAATCAGTGTATTTTTCTGTACAAGTCAAATGAGTCATAGCATTCTCGTGAAAGTTTATAATTTACCATTCAAGTGCAAGATGACTTATAGTATTGAAACTGGACTCAACTGTATTTTAAAATGTTGGCTTATTTATCAGTTATGTGGATACACATGCAGTCATGTGAAACAATTTGCATACCCTATGGTATTTCTATTTCACAAAAAATAAACTGACCTTTGGCAGGTCATAACATTTGGAAAGTAAAACCTCAGATGAACAACGGCTTATAACCTAAAAAATAAGCCAGACACTAATCAAATGCCTGAATTGATCATCAGCAAAAGTTGTAGCAGTTTATTGGCCTGGAGCTGTCAGCTGTGTGCCCGTCCCAAAGCTAAAGCTTGGCCAAAATAGGGTCATGCAGCAAGACAATCATGCCAATCAAACCAGCAAATCTACAACAGAACACCTGAAAAATAGTAAGAAAATAAAATCAAGGTATTGAAAAATTCTCATGCCGACTTCACTGCTGTGGTGAGAGCTGTGTGTAAAATCCTTCCGAATGATCTAATAGACCAAGGTTCACCAATCTTGGTCCTGGAGGGCCAGTGTCCTGCAGATTTTAGCTCAAACTCTAATCAAACACACCTGAACAAACTAATCAAGGTCTTACTAGGTATACTTGAAACACCCAGGCAGGTGTGTTGAGGCAAGTTGGAGCTAAATCCTGCAGGAACACCAGCCCTCCAGGACCAAGATTGGTGACCCCGTAATAGACTAATATGGTCATACAGAAAATTCTTACTTCAAGTCAGTGTTTCTCAACCATGTTCCTGGAGGACCATCAGCACTGCATGTTTTGGATGTTTCTTTTGTCTGTCACACCTGCTACAGGTCTTTTAGTCTCTGTTAATGAGCTTCTAATCTGAATCAGGTGTGTTTAGTTAAGGAGACATGTAAGATGTGCAGAGCTGGTGATCCTCCAGGAATGTGTGACTTAAGTAATTACTGCTAAAAGCGAATGTATGAATAGTGGCTAAATCAAAGGCATAGGTTTTAATTTTGGCATTTTTATCTTGGTTTTTGTTAAATAAAAAATGACATGGTATGAGATGTCATGTGATGGTGCTCGTGTGAGGCTTTATCTTCCAAATTTTAAAACCTGCCAAGGACCAGGTAGTTTATTATTCTGTTCTAATATGGGGGAAAACTCCAAGTAGTTCTAAACTTAGAAAATCTTAGAAAATCATCTTTTGGAAGCGATTTGGACAGAACTGTGTGTAGGTATCGTGTGTTCACAGTCATACTGGAGTGATATAAAGACAATTAGTCTCTATCTTTAAAATTTCCTGATGTTAAAATAGAGTCCAAATCCCTTTGAGGCTGACCGCAACGTGATGTAGGAGTGCGGTTAACCCGCCTACCGAATTGATTGACAGCCGTGTATTAACATGTCTCATAAATCACCTTACTTTCTCATTCAGATTCTTAGTTTGAACTTCAGCAGATCATCTTTATCATGAATTCATAAATGTGTTGAGATTTTGCCATGGGATTGGCTAATTAGATATTTGCTTTACCAAGCATGATGTGATAAACAGTGATGTTACTACTTAAAGTTATAATAGTCTTCCTGTTTTTTATTCATTATTTGTTCATTCAATTTGGCTTTACTCAAAGACTCTTCTCAAGAGGTGGGAGGTTGGGGATCAGGCACCGCTTCCCTCCCTACATGTGCATCCAGGAACGTCATGGGTGTCTTTTTAAAGCGGCCCCTGAAGTAGAGCAGAAGTGTCTTTGTTTGGTGCCACTGAAATGTACAAGCTGTGCCATTCTGGATGCTCTGCAGATAGAAGCTGGCTTATGAACAGCCGAATTAGTCATGGGCTGCACACCATCCAAATCCAACATCAGCTACTCGCATGTGCGCGTGAGTCGAGATCTGGACACTTGCTCTACGTTTGTGCCAAGTTTAAAAAGCTCAGTTTCTACACCAGAAAGGCCTTCGCCACTACTCTGCATTGAGACGGCCAGTGGGAAGCAGACATTCCTGAGTGGTAAGAAACTAACTTTTCTTTACTGAAATAGGTGGAAATGTGGACGATGACAACCAGAGAAAATAATTTATTTAATTAACGGATATATTTGGAGATAAATTGATAATTTTGTCCCAATTTTTATTTTTTTGTACTGAATTCTTGATTTAAAAGGATTATGAAGTTGGTCACATTGGTTATATACAGGCTAGTGACATTTTCAGTTTTGTCACATTTGTTTAGATAATTGGCTGGATACATTTGCAGAAAGATGTTTTTTAATAAATGTGTTTATAGGCATGTGTTGATAATGTGAAAAAGATCACGAAAGAACTACTGTAGATAGATGAATACTTGACAGATAGATTGATACATTTGTGGATCCATAAGTGGAGGATTTATTAACACCCCGTATATGAGGTGTGGATTTGGAAATTAATACAATGTACTGGTAATAGAGGGTTTTGAAGACAAATGGTAGGATGTATTATTTGTAGAACAATATGAAAACTTGAGACGCAGATATTATAAGCAAGCTTTTTGCATGAAGATTGGTGTTTAGATGCATTTGAGCTAAATATATTTGTTGATAGATACTTTAGTAGCTAGATGTGCACATGAATAGACATTTGGTTTGATAAAGACGTGGATATTTACATTTTATAGATAGATACTTTCTGATGTTATAAGGATAGGCGGCTTTTGTAGATGAATGGACACTTGATGGTCACTTGAATACATTTTCAGATAAATGAATAAGGCATATATGCATGCTTCTGCATGATGCATGCGTGGATTGTTATTTTGCAGATAAATATATCTGTGGACTGGACAGATGTATGGTAGACACAGGTTGGGGGAAGTTAACAGTTATTATTAGATTTCAGTGTTTGCCGTTAATAGATACATCTTTCATTTTATAAACATCACTGGCCTTTAAATGATTCAAATAAAAATATTATCACATACAGCGTTTATTTGCAGAAAATAACTACAGGTTGATATAAAATGTCAGACCTTCGTATTAAAGGGAAAATTCATTCATTAGTTTTATTTTCAGCTTAGTGCCTTTGTTAATCTAGGGTCGCCACAGCGGAATCAATCAACCGCCAACTTATCCAACATATGTTTTATGCAGTGGATACCCTCCCAGCTGCAACCCAACACTGGAAAACATCCATACACACTCATTCACGCACAAACACTATGAACAATTCAGCTTACCAAATTCACCTGTACTGCATGTTTTTGGACTTGTAGGCAAAACCGAAGCACCCGTGAACACGGGGAGAACATGCAAACTCCACACAGAAATGCAAATTGACTTAGCCAAGGCCCGTATCAGTGACCTTTTTGCTGTGAGGCGATTGTGCTACCCACTGCGCCACTGTGACGCCCTAAAGGGGAAATGTATGCATATATATGTAAAATAAATAAATACTTAAGGTCTGAAAACTTTTTTCAGTATGTTGTAGCTGTATTTTAGATAAATAAACTGGTACTTTAGCAATAAGACAGGTGGGTGAGTAAAAACTTGCAGACAAATAAATGGCTGGATATCTATTTAGACTAGCCTGTTTATTAAATCAGATCAGATACTTCTGTATTTTGTTGGACACCTGATAGATACATTGGAATGCTTTTGCATTTGCTATGGGTGGTCTAATACTTTATATAAATGTACTGTGATTTATATACTTTTTACTTTTTTAGGTGAATAGATGGATATAGGCTACATCTGTTTAAATAAATAGATATGTGGATAATACTAAAGTCCCTTTATTCTGTAGTCTTTGATAATACTTTGCAAATGATACTTTTGCTGACCTCCTAATTAGAGTCATATATTTACTGATAGTTCAATGGATAGAGAAATAAATGGATGTAGTTACGTTTGCAGACAGCTTGTGGTGTCGTGTTTTCTGCAGTTCCTGGTCGGGATGGTTACGGGCGCTCCGTGAGTCAGCCCAGCAGCCCGGACATATGGAGCACATCGAGCATCGGGAGCCCGTTCGGTCCCGTTCAACCGAGCTGCACCGACAGCGAATATGAGGACACAAACGGCAGCAAACGATGACAGTTATGGCTGCTGTTTTTATAACTCGCCCACAACGATGAAATGAAGAGAACATACGGGAAAGTTCAATATTGTAATGTTTAACAACATCAGTCCCCTGTGCTTTATCTATTTTCTTTTGTATAAAAACACTAACCACATACATAGTGGCCAAATAACCATATAATATTCAGAGTGTGTACTTATTTTTTGTTAGCACTGCTCCATACGTTTGTTGTTTCTTCGTTTTAATGTTTAACGAATCCTGACAAGAAGATAATAAACACAGCGCAAGCCTCGCGTTATTTTGAGAATTCCCGCGAGAGTTAGCGGATTTCGGACAGCGAAGAGGGCGAAATGGAGATATGAGGTCTGAAAAGGAGCAGAGGACAGGCAGCAGGGAGAGAGGAAGCGTCGAAATCCAGTTCAGGGACTGTCAGGACAACGCCGCTGTGAACCCCAAGCACAAGGAGGAGAAAAAGGAGATCTTCAGCAAGGTAAGGTGGCGCAGTTCTGTGGGCTGGGAGAGTATGGTGATGATGATGATGATGATGGAGGAGGGAATGGGATTCAGCACCACAGACAGCGAAACCACAGGACTGCCAAATACACACGAACATCCTGGTGCTATCATTCATAATAAACACAAACACACTCCTACACTCAATCAGTTAACACTGAATGGGTTTAATCTAGGGATTGATTAAACATGTTATGAAAGTAGCATGTAGCCATGGTGCAATGTGGTAAAATAGACGTTTTTAAGATTAACCTATTGAGCTTGTGCGTGTGTGAATGAGTAATTCTACAATTATTCTTTATTTTTATGTAAGGATTTGTTTTGTAGAACGCTTTTGCAGAATTTTAATAATGTTCTGGTTGTTTTATGTCTATTGCAGATGATGATTAAATGAATTTTATTAATCAATAGCAGGGCCTATATGAACACTCGTCAAGATGAACATGCTATATATATATATATATATATATATATATATATATATATATATATATATATATATATATATATATATATATATATATATGGTAAAAATAGATGGGTTAGTCCATTTATTAATCTAAATTCTTTGGAACACTAATTAGGTTTGTAACACAAAATAAGTGACTCCCACCATACATAGGAAGTGAGTTTCTTCTGCATGTTATTTTATCAACATCACAACTCCACAATATCTATTAAATGAAAAAACACGAAAATTAATGTAATAATAGTAATTACTTGTATGTACTTTTTAATTTAATCGAAGTGAGTCTGACTTAAATAATTTTATAACAAACAACAACAGTCCATTTCTCAGTGTATGTGTTTTTAACATAATGTAATGTGGTATGGCTGAATAATCAAACAGTATTTTAATATTATTATTATAATTATTATTATTTAATTTTTTTCCATTAGTTGTGAGCTGTAGACCTCTTGGTCAGGTCACCCTTGTAAATGAGATTTCGATTTCAATGGTTTTGTTTACCTGGTTAAAAAAAGAATATATATATATATATATATTATATATATATATATATATATATATATATATATATATATATATATATATATATATATATATATATAAACCCCTGTTTATTTTTCCCCCAATTTCTGTTTAACGGAGATCTGATTTTTTTTTCAACACATTTTTAAACATAATAGTTTTAATAACTAATTTCTAATCACTGATTTATTTTATCTTTGCCATGATGAGAGTAAATAATATTTGACTAGATATTTTTCAAGACACTTCTATACAGCTTAAAGTGACATTTAAAGGCTTAACTAGGTTAATTAGGTTAACTAGGCAAGTTAGGGTAATTGGGCAAGTCATTGTTTAATGATAGTTTGTTCTGTAGACTATCGAAAGAATAATATGGCTTCAAGGGGCTAATCATTTTGACCTTAAAATGGTTTTAAAAAAATTTTAAACTGCTTTTGTTGTAGCCGAAATAAAACAAAACTTTCTCCAAAAGAAAAAATATTATCAGACATACTATAAAAATTTCCTTGCTCTGTTAAAAATCATTTGAGAAATATTTAAAAAAGAAAATGAAATTCAAAGGGGGGCTAATAATTTTGACTTCAACTGTATATGCTATACTTAGTTTACTATATACTTAGTTTGTATTCCGAGAGAGCTTTTGAAGGTCAGTAGGCCTACATAAAATGAATAAAATGTAAAAAGTTTTTACACTCACAAAAAATTCTTACATGCCTGTCTGTTTTTTAATAACTAATAAGGTTTCAGTGATATTTTCATATCTGAACAAGAATATTTTTGTTTTTATCTTAAAAATTTGATAATTTTATTTTTAAAAAGTGGTCAGTTTTGTAAACCAGAAATATTATAATTATTTGTTACATATGTCCTGTTGTTAAATAAAATAATAATAATAATAATAATAATAATGCATTATTATTATTACCATATTATCATTATGAAATACTTTATAGTTCATTGATAATATAGTAATATTTCTTCATTTTTTAATAACTTGAATAAGCTTGTTTTCAGTATTATCAGACTTCTTTTATTCTTCTTTTATATAGGTTGTCATCCGCCGACTGCCACCCAGTCTATCAAAAGACCAGCTCCAGGAGCATCTGAGTCCTCTTCCATCTTTTGACTATTTTGAGTTCTTTCCTGCTGATCAGAGGTATGTCCACTTTGTTTATATAGAAATACTATGATCATGAGTGCTGTCAGTGTAATTTACATGTGCATATTTGATATATTTTTATTCTCCCCAGCTTATACCCTCATCTCTTCTCAAGAGCATACATAAACTTCAAAAACCCAGAGGATATCATAATATTCAGAGATCGCTTTGATGGCTATGTATTTATTGACAATAAAGGTGATTTGCTTTCTGCTTTTTTTCTATGTATCCTCATTGAATCTAATATTTTCTGACTATAACTTTAGGATATTTACTTTTTATTATGACATATGATATAATAGATTAGTATAACATTTATTTTACTTCTGTTTATTTAGGTCAAGAATATCCAGCTGTTGTAGAATTTGCCCCATTTCAGAAGGTTTCCAAGAAAAAGCTAAAGAAGAAAGATGCGAAAGCTGGGACCATTGAAGAAGGCATCTTAAAAAAGATTTCTTAATATTTATAATTTTGAAGTATTCAAGAATTGACGTCATTGTGTAAATTACAGTTGATGTCAGAATTAACAACCCCCTTCAAATTTTTTTCTTCTTTTTGAAATATTTTCCAAATTATGTTTAACAGAGCAAGGGAGTTTTCTCAGTATGTCTGATAATATTTTTTCTTCTGGAAAAAGTTTTTTTTTATTTAGTCTAGAATAAAAGCAGTTTGAATTTTTTTAAACACCATTTTAGGGACAAAATTATTAGCCCTTTTAAGCTATTTTTTTTCTTGAAAATCTACAGAACAAAGCATTGTTATACAATAACTTGCCTAATTACCCTAACTCACCTAGTTACCCCAATTAACCTAGTTAAACCTTTAAATGTCCCTTTAAACTGTATAGAAGTGTCTTGAAAAATATCTAGTAAAATATTATTTACTGTCATCATGGCAAAGATAAAATAAATCCATTATTAGAAATGAGTTATTAAAACTATTATGTTTAGAAATGTGTTAAAGAAATCTGCTCTCCATTAAATAGAAATTGGGGAAAAAAATAAACAAGCGGTCTAATAATTCAGGGGGGCTAATAATTCTGACTTCAACTGTATATACTGCAATATATTAATTAATTTGTTAAACACTGTTTTCAGACCCAGAATACAGGCGATTTCTGGAAAACTACTCTTGTGATGAGGAGAAATCGATGGCCAACCCAGAAACGCTTTTGGGAGAGATTGAAGCTAAAACCCGAGAGCTCATAGGTATGGTTTTGGACATTCTTTTAAATCTGTTATATTATTTACAAAGATAAATGTATGACCAGGAGAAGCATTACATCAATTTAACTATATATTTATTCATTCATTCATTTTGTTTTCCGCTAAGTCCATTATTCAGGGGTCACCACAGTGGAATGAACCGCCAACTTATCCAGCATATATATTTTTATGCAGCGGATGCCCTTCCAACTGCAACCCATCACTGGGAAACCCATACACTCTCATTCTTACACACACTATGGACAATTTAGCTTATTCAATTCACCTGTAGCTCATGTCTTTGGACTTGTAGGGGAAACCAGAACACATGGAGGAAACCCACATGAACACAGAACTATACATGTAAATGTGTCCTGTTAAATTTTTTTCTGAGCAAAAAATAGTGATCATCATACTATTTTAACCATGAGTAACAGAATACACCCTCTGAAAGGATGTCTTCGGTGATAGCTTAACAATGACACGGTGGCTCAGTGGTTAGCACTGTCGTCTTGCAACTAGAAGGTCACTGGTTTGAGTCCCAGTTGGGCCAGTTGGCATTTCTGTGTGGAGTTTGCATGTTTTCCCTGTGTTTGCATGGGTTTCCTCCAGGTGATCCAGTTTCACCCACAGTCCAAAGACATGCGGTACAGGTGAATTGAATAAACTTAATTAACCGTAGTGTATGTGTGTGAATGAGGGTGTATGGATGTTTCCCAGTTGGCTACTGGATTGCAGCTAGAAGGGCATCCACTGTGTAAAACATATGCTGTATAAGTTGGTGGTTCATTCCACTGTGGCAACCTCTGATAAATAAAGGGACCAAGCCGAAGGAAAATTAATGAATATTTGGAAAAGGAAAAATCTTAAAATAAAGAAGATTTACGGGTGTGTACATTTTTTTGTGTACATTTGATCTTAGTGAAAATTACTTATTTTGTCTTCTGATTAATATTTAAAACAATAATCTTTCAACATCATATTTAAAAAATCCTAAAACACATTTTAAATCTTTGTACTTGTGTTTTTTTGTAATAAACAAAATTAAATTTGGTATGATCACTTATGCTTTGGTATATTTTAGCAAATACAGGTAAGTGTTTAATTTATGCATGTTATGATGCATCACTTCATCCTTAGTTTTACATTTTATTCTCACAAAGTTGCTTAAAACATTAAAGTAGACACTCTTTTATAATGCTTTTTATGTACATACACTATACCTTTTGTAAATATAGTTTGACATGGATATCAATATAGATCTCATATTCAATTCAATTCTATGCATTTTATTGTCTATCCCACAAGGGTTAGAAAATTGTCTTTAGACAGGCTCGCACACAACAGCAAAACAGAAATACATTTACACAACAATTATTTAGAAATCCTATTTAAAAAAAACAATGGCAGTGGGAATAAATGTCTTCTTGTACTTAGCCTTTTGTATAAAGCGACTTTATACCGTCTGCCAGATAAAAATAACTTAAAGGAATTATGTAAAGTGTGGGAAGAGTCCTCCACAATAGTGACTCTTTTTGTCGCTGCTTTAAATAAATCAGTGAGAGGTGTTTTTCTCCCACCAATTATTTTACCAGCTACATTTACCAATTTACAAATATATATATATATTTGCTTTTAACAGAGAGGGAGGTAAACCAGGATACAATGTTAAAAGTAAGGACAGATTCAACAAGTGATTTATATATGACAATCAAAGGGCTCTATTTTAATGATCTAGGTGCAAAGTCTAAAGTGCAAGGCGCAAAAGCATGTCCGAATTCACTTTTGCTATTTTAAGGCTGGAAAAATACGCTCTGCGCTGTGGCACACGGTCTAACAGGTTTGAGCTTATTCTTTTAATGAGTTGTGGGTGTATTTTGAGAATAAACCAATCAGAGACTCATCTCCTATTCCCTTTAAGAGTCAGATGCATTGCGCCATAGCGCAAATTGCTATTTACATGGTGGACTTTGTAAGTCGAAGAATGAAAACGCTTCACTAACAAGAAAACAGTTTAACAGAGCATCTGCAGCACGAGGATAAAGAATGAGCCTTCTCCAATCGGCCTTTACTGTCACTTTCTTCTTTCTCTTTCTTCGTGGATAAGGTAACAGTGTTGTAGGCCATGCACAGACATCCATTAGCCTACATAATTAATTTTGTTTGTTAAGCGCAGAGATTTGTTTCAAAACTAAATTTAAATTCAGTTGTAATTTCCAGCAAACGAATAAATGAACAATAATTACGAAGTGTGGTCAAAAACCTGAGTTATATCCAAACACACGTTATGCCCCATATGGTCTAAAACCTGACAAGAGGGCAAATCTAAGCTTGTTTTTAATAAAACAAATATAAATATGCTTATAATAAATAATGCTACTTATAATGAAAACATAATACAAAAGCAAGTTGTCTTGAATAAGCTTAATAGCAATAAAAAATAAAATATAAAATAGCAACAAATTGGTGTAAACACTTCTTGCGCCTTATTGCGCCAGGTGTATGATAGGGCCCAAAATGTCGTTTTCAATATTAAAACTTTTCAGTTCTCTCAACAAGCTCAACTGCTGCTGAGCCTTTTTAAAAACATTCTCTGTGTGTTTTTCAAATGAAAACAAAGTCAATCTCCACAACTAAATATTTAAAAGAACTCATTTCCACTTACTCCCCATTAATTAACAAAGGGTCATCGAATGTTTGTATTTTGTTTGTCCCAAATATGTGATTACTAACATTGTTTACATTTTTTTTTGAATGCTATTTTATTATAGAGCTGCTCTCTTGGAAATTATCCAGGATTTAGGATTATAATCTGAGCTTGATTTTTACCTCTGTGTGACTTTATTCATAGCCAAAAGGACGACACCCTTGCTGGAATACATCAAAAACAAGAAATTAGAGAAACAGGTAAGAGCACCATATCACTGCATATAACACACTGCGGTTTTGTGCTGTATGTACATCACCATGCCTTTCCATTCTAGAGAATAAGAGAAGAAAAAAGAGAAGAGAGGCGAAGAAGAGAACTGGAAAAGAAGAGGCAGAGGGAAGAGGAGAAGAGGAAACGCAGAGAAGAGGAGAGACAAAAGCGGAAGGAGGCAGAAAAGCAGAAAAAGCTCTCTGAGAAAGAGATAAAGATCAAGGTACGAGTTTAATACCATATTACATCCCATTGCTCGACTGTGCTTATCAGTACTGTAAAACACACACAAACACACGCAGTCATAACATCAGATTTGCATGTTGACTGCTTTAGCTTTTGAAGAAGTGTGACCGAGACGATGACGTGGATTCAGACAGACTGAAAGATAAAGGAGACAGTGGAGAGACGGAGAAGAACAGATGGGAAAAGCCTGGAGGACACACTAAGTCAAAGGATTCAAAGGATAAGTAAGAGCTTCCTAAAACTTACCCCTTCTTGAAAAGATATGAGTTAAAAATAGAGTTAAAGAGTTAAAAATAGAGTTTAAAAATTAAGGATTCAGATTTGTAAATCAACCAAAAGTTGAAAGTTGGGATGAAATTTTCCATTTTCTTAATAACTTTTTAAAGGGATGGATTTACTCGACCAGAAATAAAGATAATTTAAATAATATTTGTAACAGATTTCCAACATTGTTTGAATTATTTTCTTTTGTGTTCAACTGATGACATTCTATGTGGGTGATTAATTTTGTGTGGACTGCCCCCTTATTCATACTTTCCTAATTTTATCTTGTTAATTTCAATGGAAATGTCATAACTTTACTTTCTCTATTTTCCACAAGTGGAATTTTATTTTTGGCTTCACCACACAACCACATCAGCGTTCATATTACACATATCATAGAAAAACAGGCAACACAAATACATTCAGTGTCATCACATAAATCACATTAAAAACTCAATTAACCCTATTAATACTTAAAACCCAGTGTTTAAAACTTTAGTGGCAGTGGCACAAAGGACATTTGATAAACCTTTTTCTTTACTTGAGGTTGCCTCAAATCTCTTTTTGATGGCAAGAGCTGAAATCTTATATTTAAAGAATGGGAACAATTTTCAATAATGACCGTTTAATTCTCATTAAATAAATTTAATTTAGTTGTCTTTGTGCTTTACCTACAATTGCACTGGTCATTTTTACTACTCTACACATTTTTTTGCTTTTTCTAATTTACAACAGTCCATACCATGCAGTCATGTTAAAACTCACAATACTCAATACCCCAATCTGGTGATGTATGACAGACCTGTCCAAATTCCAAAATACACGAGCAGCCAATCAGCAGTAAGCGACGTGTCTAGTAATGATAGTGGAGATGTTAAAAAGTGTCATGTTCCTGTTAAGGAATGGCATGTTTGTTTTGGTGCTTTTAAATATCAATAATGTTTGCCAAAGTTACCTTTGTGCACCATTACACTCTATGGCTTCTTACAATGGACCACAAGCTCAGATTCATATCTGCTACCATTAAATCAAAAACTGATATATGGACTGATAATTCTACCATTCTTTATTTCTTTTTTGATGATAAGTTTCTCTAAGATGAATGTCACAGTGAAGATTAAAAGCTTTTGCTACTTTCATTTCCTTGCACTTTTGAAAAATTTGGGATTTTGATGCAAAATATAGGTTTGTGAAAGAAACAAATGTCTTTACACTTGTGTGTCCATCAATGTAAAACAAATGTTTACAGAGGACAAAAATGTTAGTTACTTAAGTGTCAGTAAGATTGCACAAAGAATATAGAGGCTATTTGTAGAATTCACAAATGCTTAGATTCCTCTCAATAAAATAAACAATAGTTTCATTATAAAATTTAAATAAATTAAGCTGCTAAGTTACTTTAAGGTACACCATTGTGTATCTATTTTTATACAGTTGAAGTCAGAATTATAAGCCCCTCAGTATATTTTTTCACCAATTTCTGTTTAACAGAAAGCAGATCTTTTCAACACATTTTAAAACATAATGGTTGTAATAGCTAATTTCTAATAACTGATTTCTTTTATCTTTGCCATGATGAGAGTACATAATATTTACTAGATATTTTTCAAGATACTAGTATTCAGCTTAAAGTGCAATTTAAAGGCTTAACTAGCCTTTCAAAAAACTGTAAATCTGCTTTTTTTCTAGCCAAAATAAAACAAACTAGACTTTCTCCAGAAGAAAAAATAATATAGGAATTACTGTGAGAAATACCTTGCTCTGTTAAACATTATTAAATATTTGAAAAATAAAATAAATACACATGAGGGCTAATAATTTTGACCTCACCTGTATATCGGGGTGTTGACTTCATGAAATGTGCCCTCCACAGTAGGAGCCAAATGGAAAATGACAAGGAGCAGCGTGAGGGCCACGGCCGACGGCAGAGGGACAAAGATCACCGTGGCCGAGATGAGGAACGTAAACGACAGAGGCATCACTACGAATTTGACAAGTTCATGCGACGCAAGGAAGAGACCAAATGGGGCAAAGGCTACTGCCAGGACAGGGCCAAGAAAGACCAACACCATGGGTATTCCTACTGCCCAGAGACTGGAGACAAACTGGGCAAAGAGGACCGAGAGGACATGGGCAGCAGGAAAGAACGCATCCGCAATAAGGTAAATCAAATAAACTATTACAGAGCAGTAGAGTAGCGATTTCACAGCCACAGTCCATTTGCAGCTCTGGTTCTGGTATTATGTACAGTTATCTGTCAGTTTGTCCGGTCTGTGTAGCAGATGGATCCACTAATGCATTCAATATTTACACATCTGTACTTGATTTATTCATCATTGTGTTCTGTGGGAAATGCAATACCAATCTGCCTCACTCCAGGGGCTTTCAATGCAGGCTACACTTATTTGTTGAGGTAGTTAGCTGTAATTTGGCTGTTGGCAATATTATTGACGAAAGACAACGTGTCTCTCAGTCTGTGTTAGTGCATCAGGAGAAAAGGACTTCCCAGTCTGAGGGGCCAGACCAGATAGGAGGGGCTCTGCCAGCAAAGGTACAGCTAGTTTTTGAGCCTTTCTACCCACGGGAGGGGATATGCTATACACATGTTGTATGCCTACAGTGTCAGGCGTACTTAATGCTGTAATGGCACAGATAAGGAGCAGTTCCCAATAGATAAAAGCACATAATGACTAAAAACTATGACTCTGTTCTAAAACCTATAGTGTGTCTATAAAGACAGCATTTTAAGGCATCTCATGTAACCTTGCTTTTAATGTAGAAATGCTCCAAATGGTTACAATTCTGTATTAGCTTTATAAAAAAAGATATAGTTAAAATATAGTTTAAAATATGTATAACTTGATCAACAGAAAGTTTAAGGATTTTGAAACATTATAAAAAATTATGTTATGTTATATTAAACAAATAATCATTTTAATTTATATAAAATATCCTCATTTAGGGATAAAAAAATAAATATAATACTGGAAATAAACTTAAATAAGGTTTAAGGATTTTACAATATTAAAACAAAGAACAGTTGTGTTATCATATAAGACAACGAAACATTTAAAGTCCTAAAAAATCCTCATTTGAGGAGAAAAATAGATGTGTACTTCAGAAAATGAACTTTATTCAAACTTTATTGTTTTATGTTTAATCCGCTTACATTTGCAAAAACTGTTACAACACAAATTGATAGTGTGGAACTCTTTTTACAGTGTTTATGTATTTTAAAACATCTTAAACATGTTTAAACATGTAAAACATGTCAAAAATCTCCTTTATGATGATTTTAATTAGCGATGTTGATGTAGAGGACTTGTTGATTCAAGAATAGATGCAATCGAATCAAACCGAATACATTTTTAGTGTAATTTGTTTACCTATTTATTAGGTTAACTAAAAAGGATTAGATTGCCTAAGAATTGGACACTATCATTTAAAAAAAACCATGAACATGTAGTTTTTATTAAGTTATAATAGACAGGCTCATTCTAAAAACGTAGCCTTATAAAGATTTCTGGAGATCGCAAATTATGTTGCCAGAGCTACGTATGACTGCATTTCATTTTTAAAATGAATGCTACGAGGCGGTATGATGCCATTCCTTTTCGCGCTTACCAGCTGAACGCTTACCTCTGTATAGACAGCTTTCCTGCTGTTAACAGTTTGTCCAGTAGTTTGACACATACAACGGCAGACTTGCGACGCAGAGGAGAGTTGACTGCGACAACGAGGTTTAAGTCCGGTGAAGAGCAGTTCCAGAAAGCAGGTAAGGCAAAAATAAAATAAGCAAATAAATAACAGAGTAAGAATGTGGTGAAATATGGTAAAAATCAGTGAGCTTTTTTTTTTTAGATTGCTTTTTAAAACTTTGGTTGGGTTCAGGGAAGGGGGTTGGTGGGTCAATCAGTGCTTTATAAAACACTATTTGTTGGGTTTAGGGAAGGGGAAGGGAGAGGGTATTGGTTGGTTGGTCAGTCAGAAAATCAGTCAGTTGACAGCGGCCTCTGGTGGATTTAGGTGAGAACAGCAGGCAGGAACGGCCCTCGTGAGAGAAATCTGAAAAAGCGTACACAGCGGCCTCTAGTGGATTTACAAAAACTGCAAAAAAAAACGTAGCGCCTGGGACATATTTTTCTCTCTCCAGAAATGTATATAGGGATATGTAATCAGAATGAGCCTGGGTTTATAAAAATACAATGTAATGCATTAGATCAAAGCTATTCTTATAAAGTACAGATACACTGCACCACTGTATACTATATTATTATATATATTTTTAAAGTGTATATAAAAATATCAATAAAATTGTAAAAGATGACAGTTTTGTATGTTTTTTAGCATGTGACAATTAGTTTTCAACATCTTATCACCAAAACACAATTCAGTCAAGCGTTGTGTGAGAGATACACTAATTTGTATAGCGGCGCAAGCTAAATTATGTAAACTAGGAGGTACTATGATGTTGTCTTAAAAAGTAGCTCCTTTATAGACAGCAAGTTGCAATTCTCTTGGTTTTGGAACAGATCCTACATGCATATAGAAGAATATTTAAGATCTTGTACATTGTGAGCTCACATGCTTGATTCTGTCTATACATTTATAAGCAGTCATCTAGCAGATGCTCCTATCTAAAGTACACCTATCATCAGAAGTGATGACAGCAATAGCTTTAGCCATCAAGTTTCACCCTCATCACCACCACCACCATAAACTTAATCTTTGTTAAATGCAAACAGATAAAAGTGCAAGATAATGTTTTTAAATAGACTAAATGGATTTTGAGGGCCTGGATATAGCTGGTTGTTTGCTTGCTGAAATGTGATTCAGGAAATTGATTTATATGCATGAACAGCATTTCCTTAAATGATCTGCTATGCAAAAAAAAAAAAAAAAAAAAAATCAGTGTTGTTTGTGGTATGAAATATGAGTGCATTGCTTTTGTCTCTTGTGTCTTACTCATTTCACGGCACAGGACCGACCGGCAATGCAACTGTACCAACCAGGTGCTAGAAACCGCAAACGCATGGGCTCTGGAAACAAGACATTTGACTTCCCGCCGATCTCTCCCGAACATGCAGGAGAACACTGCTACAAAACAGTCATTGGTACAGGCTCTGAAAAGAGTGCTGACGAGTGAAAAAACAAAACACTATTGACAGGAAGATGCCTAAGCAAGGGTCACACAAGTGTAGAAAAAAACACTAAACCTCAACCTTGTTTTCTGTCATGTGTGAGTACAGTGCATTGAAATCCCCTCTTAATATTTTCTACACAACAACGTCAACTGTGTCATAAACGATCGGCTTCTGTTTGCTTGTCAAGGATTCACAACCACTCCATTGAGAAAAATACCTCATTATTTACAAAGATCGGATTTGTATGCCTTTTTGTAGTGCAAGACTCCATTGATCAAGAGAATTAATATATATCTATTTAGAGAGAGATTTTACAGTAAAGAGAATCAGTTTGTGTGGTGAAATCTGTATTTTAAATATATGTAATGTGGGATGGGGAACAGAGACATATTTTTTTCTTTAAGATTATAGAAATGCTACTGAAACATTTACGCATGCAACTTTTCATTGTTGTTTTGCACTGTAATGCCTTTGAATGATGCCTCTACTGTCCCTGATGTGTAGACATTGTGGCTTTTCTGTATTAAAGGGGTTGGTTCACCCAAAAAAAAAAATCATTTACTCACCACTTAGTCACTATCAAGCGCTCTTTGGGGGGTTTTGTTCTGTTAAATACGTAAGAAGATATTTTGAAGAATGCTGAAAACTGGTATTCACTTCCACGTCGTGGGGAAAATACTTTTGTGTTCGTCAGAAAAAGGAAACAGGTTTTGAACAGGTTAAGGGTGAGTAAATGATGACATAATTATAATTTTTGGGTGAATTATCACTTTAATTGCTTCTCACTCTACTGCATATAGCAACTGTTTCACCTGCGGGCCAAGAAGAACAAATAGTGTTTGTTAAAATCGTGAAATTACATGTTGTTTTGTGATATTTCTAACACGCATGCATGTTTTTTAGAAACTGCATTCATTAAGCGGTGGGAGGCTACATGGGGTCACATGCCTTACTTTTGATTTGCACTTAAGATCCCATCTAATATTAAACAGAAAAATACAGGTTTTTAGAATTATTGAGTATTGAGTCCAACAAAAAAGTGATCTCTGTAGAATAATTTAAAAATGTGATATTGTATTTGATGGATTGAACAATTTGTGTACAATAAAGATATATCATTATATAAAGTAACATTTGAATTTTTTTAATGTATTTTTTTGCTTATAATAGTTGTTTTTGTTCCTAATGCATACTTAAAGTTTATTAACAAGGAATAGTTTTTTTTTTATAAAGTTGAGATAAAGTTAGGTAGTTAAATTAGCATTTTTTAAATAATGTGTTTAATTATGACAATAATTAAATAATGACAATACATATACAACAACAAACAAGTGAACAGAAAAAGGGGGAAAAAGAAATTGTAATAATAGTTAAATTGAACATAATTAAAAAGGGGGTGAATTAAATTAGAGATATTGCACATTCATACAACACAAACCTTTACAAGTTCTTACTTTATTAAATCAACCCTCTGATGAGTATGGAGTTTATGTTTAAACCCATTCATTCGTTCATTCATTTTCTTTTTGGCTTAGTCCCTTTATAAATGTGGGGTAGCCACAGCAGAATGAACCACCAACTTATCCAGCATATGTTTTACGCAGGGGATGCCCTACCGGCTGCAACCCATCACTGGGAAACACACACACACACACGATGGGCAATTTAGCTTACCCAATTCACCTACTGTATAGTGCATGTCTTTGGACTTGTGGGTGAAACCGGAGCACCCGGAGGAAACCCACGGAAACACGGGGAGAACATGCAAACTTCACACAGAAATGCCAACTGACCCAGCTGAGGCTTAAACCGGTGACCATCTTGCTGTAAGGTGATCGTGCTACCCACTGTGACACTCATGTTTAAACCCATACGCAACAAAAATGGATCACACCACTCATGAAATAAAACATCTTTGCTGTGTAAAACACAAGTTAAGTAGTCCAGTGGTACATATTCAAGTATTACCCATATGCCATAAAGACTTTGTAGGAATTTTGTCCATTATCCAGTTCAGGAAAATACATTTTCTTGCACAAAATGTCAGGAACTTGCTAACTGTTTATGTTTGTTCATATTAATCTTGTTGTATATCGCAAGCAGCATATGCTTTCGGTCACAACCAATATTAATAGATAAAAATCCATTAATTTCTTGTTCACTCATGGCCCAGAACTGTTAAATTTCCCTGCAAAGCCAGAAACAAGGAACAAGGTTTAAATTAGTATTTACATTTTTTTAATATGAGCATGCTTTCAAACACAATAGAATACATCGTGCCATTCTGTGCAGCTAAATCACAGTTGAAATGGCACTCAAACTTAGCTAAAGGTTAGCGACTGGATGAGATTTCTTGCTTTTACTTGCAAAACAACCCACCAACTTTCTGAGTCAACTCTAAACGAGAATCAGGTTGCACTGGCAAGATAGAAATTAATGTAATTTGCAAGGTTCTCATACTACATCTTTAGTTCCCACAGTCTTAGACTGAGAAAGCAAGTCATAAAGTCTTCCTACGTCTTTCGTGGCATGACTTTTTACCTCAAATTTGACTTCTTGTCTGTTTTGTTCATACCTTTTATCACAGCTTTTCTCACAGTGCTGATGGAAGATATGATAAATGCATCCTCCACAGAAGGATGGCAGTTATCTGTACTTAGTTGTCTCAAAATACACTTAAATTCCATTTGACATAGCATTTATTTTTTAGTTTGTGTGATTGTCTAAAAAACGCATAAAAACCCACCTAAAAGCATCTTGCATGGAAAACAGGAAGCAAAATCATGACGCTAATGAAACTACAGGTTTGTGCATTAGTTTTTTTTTTTGTAATAAAAAGCCTAATTGTATTTTTGGTATGCATATATACACAAAGCGGCCACTGTATTAGGGACACCTTTCAAACTGCTTGTTAATGCAAATTTCTAATCAGCCAATTACATGGCAGCAACTCAATTTGTTTAGGCATGTAGGCATGGTCAAGACAATCTGGAGCAGTTTGAATCAAGTATCAGAATGGGGAAGAAGGATGATTTAAATGATTTGAAACGTGGCTCGGTTGTTGTTGCCAGATGGGCTGGTCTGAGTGTTTTAGAAACTGCTGATCTACTGGGATTTTCACACACAACAATATCTAGGTTTACAGAGAATGGTCAGAAAAAACTAAAATATCCAGTGAGCAGCAGTTCTGTGGGCGCTAATGCCTGGTTGATGCCAGAGGTCAGAGGAGAATGGCATGGAACCTTGAGGCAGATGAGCTACAGCAGCAGAAGACCACACCGGTTGTCACATCTGTCAGCTAAGAACAGGAAACTGAGGCTACAATTCACACAGGCTCACCAGAATTGGACAATAGAAGATTGTAAAAATGTTGCCTGTTTGTCTCAATGTCTGCTGCAACATTCTGCAAATTTGGCGTCAACAACATAAAACGCATGCATCCCTTTTGCCTTGTATCAACGTTTCAGGATGGTGGTGGTGGTGTAATGATGTGGGGGATATTTTCTTGGTTCACTTTGGGCCAATTAGTACCAATTGAGCATTGTGTCAATGCCACAGCCTACCTGAGTATTGTTGCTGACGACAGTATACCCATCTTCTGACTTCCAACAGGATAACGCACCATCTCATAAAAAGTAAATCATCTCAGACTGGTTTCTTTAACATGAGAATGAGTTCTCTGTACTCAAATGGCCTCCACAATCACCAGATCCCAATACAATAGAGCACCTTTGGGATGTGGTGGAACAGGTGATTCACATCATGGATGTGCAGCCGACAAATCTGCAGCAACTACATGATAGTATCATGTCAATATGCACCAAAATCTCTGAGGAATATTTCCAGGACCTTGTTGAATCGATGCCACGAAGGATTAAGACATTTCAGAAGACAAGGGGGTCCAACCCGGTACTAGTAAGATGTACCCAATAAAGTGGCCGTTAAGTATATATAACTTACTAATGAATATGTGAGTGAACTATAAAAATGAGTAATATCCTGAAAGTGAAATGTTTTTTAACTGTTACTTTGGGGTGCGACCCTTCACAGTACTTGGTGTAAGGAAAGGTGTGTACCATTATTTTACTGGTTAATGTGGTATACTGTCTTCACCGCATCCTCCCACATTAAGTTCGCCTTCGCAGAAATCTAAAACTCCAATCCAGTATAACATTCAAAAGCACACACACATACACACACGCACACACACATGATTAATGAGAAATAGAAACTTTACAGTGTGACATTAGGGGAACTTAATAAAAGGAGTTTTGTTTGCCTCACATGTCGCAGAACTGGCGAACTGATATTGACTCTGTACTTTAAATGCTAAAATTCTGTGAAATGTCAAGATAATCTTAACTGAATTTCTAAATACACGTGAGATATTTAGAAATTTGGAGTATGTTGTTTCATTCCACGCGTGTAACTCTAAACTTACTATATTTTGATCGAAATGAGTAGTCAGGCGCGTACTTCCTCTGCTCAAGTTTCCTGCGCCTCACAGTCAGGTTAGTCAAATCAACTGCCATCCACACACGAGGGAAGTCGCACATTTCTTGAGGTACGTACACATGATTAATGTGGCTCTTTTAAATGATGTTTTTTTTAACCAAATGTGCGCAGATATACGTACAAACTTGAGTAGAAATGAAGTCGCATTGATGGTGCCAATGACATGGTACTTCTTAAATGATTAGACTACTAAAATTCTGAATTGTTTTTGAGAAAACGATAAAAATTAATTAATTTTTGAATGTGTAGCTTCTGTTATAGTTAGCCTTGTTAGAACACGTTAATTTACCTGAAAGTTTTCCCGCTCTGAGGTAAAACCGTGTACTTTCCCCCTGGATGGATGATTTCACATAATCTCAGTCCGTAATTCTTCAAGATTTGACTCGTTTTTCTGGCAATTTGATTAAAAACAACTTCTGTTAATCCACGCAATAACACATGATTTAATGTCTACTTATAGTATTTTTTATTTTTTTTTTATGTGTACTTATAGTAACACCACAAGCACTTATGACATACAACGTCATTTCACACACACACACACACACACACACACACACACACACACACACACACACACACACACACACACACACACAAGACAACTATTTTTTGTTTGACTTCTACCATGAGTCATAATGGTGTACCACTTGACGGATGATGAGAAACTTTTGTGGGAACACAAACAATTTTACTGATGTTTTAACAGAAGAAAATAGGAAATAATTGGTCTAGCAGTGTGGGTTTATCTGGTGGTTTCCATCATGTGTTTTGAAACTCGTTTAAACAAACAAACAAACAAACAAATAAATAAATAAATAAATAGGTTATAATAGGCTTGTTTCCAAAAAACTGTTTCAAGGATCATGTATCATGGATTTTTTAAATTGTTAAACTTTTTAAATGGTCTATTTTGACTAATATTATACAAAAGACCTACAATACAATCAGTCCTTTTAAGCAATTTAAGTGAGAAGTTCATCTTCACACTGTAAAAATCCTGGTTGTCTTACATTTTTAAGCTGAATCAAATGAACCGAGTCCATTGAACTGATATTATGTTAATCTGACTTAAAACATCTCATAAAATTAAGTTAGAACATAAATAAGTTAGTTTAATAAGTTACGATGACCTAATAACATATGCTGTCAGGACTAATTCTAAATATAATTTTTTACAATGCAGTGAAAGAAAAGTAAGTGTTAATTTCTCAGTGTAAAGTACACAGTCATTCCTCAAGTATACAACGAGTGTACTTTTGCGTCCTTTTAATTTTAATTATTCTAAAAAAGACAGAGATTTGCATATTTACAGAAAATATTCCTGCTTAAAACTCTACATTCATCTAAAATTAAGCAGATATGAAAGCTGCTGATCTTAAAGCATGTTTGTTTATATAAACATGTTTATATTGACTTGTTTGTTATTAGCAAAAACAGATATCTCAGTTTTTGTTTAGCAATTTTCAGATATCATGTTTTTATCTTGAGTATTTATGATTTGTGGAAATTGGTTATATCTTTTTGTGCAAGTGAACTCGAAGACTTGCATTTGAATTTATAGTTGCCCCGTGACCTGCAAACCAGACAATGTGTCATATGTGGGCTATTATTGCATTCTTACATTACGGCTTTATCAAATTTCTAATATTTTTTTCCAACTAAACCTAAATCTCTGAGATATTTTTAAATGTGTTAGAAATGAAAGATTACAGGCAGTCCTCTGAAATTTGACATTATTTGTAACTTTTTGCCATCACATCAGGCTCTGCAGTTAATAGAAACAATACATCCAAACAGTTTTATAATTACATTTATCATAAGGCACAGTTGACACAGCCATTTATTGATATGGCTCATTGCTCACATACGAATTGCCATGCATATAAGTTACAGCATTGTCTATGTAAAGCTGGACAAATCATTAATTTACAAATAAATTATGACCAGTCCAAGTATGTATCCTTGAGGAACAGAGGAATTATGAATATAAACATTTACATTGTGCTCTCTTAGATACGACTTTCCTGATTTTAGCCCGTTTTTAAAAAGATTATTAATGAGTTTCAATCAAATCAAGAAAAGCAAGACCTGCAATACCATCCTAATGCATCATAAAGTTTGTCTAAGCAATAATAAGTAGAATTGTGGTAAAGTACGAGCGCTAAATAAAATGTAAAAATCTACATTTTTCTACCATCCTGGAAACAACAGGTGAAGGCTAATTAGAGGATAATCACTAAATAAGCTGAGAGTCAATACAAACATACTCAGAATTGTCTTTTTTTGTATTAATAATTCACAGGCTAATATTTTTCCTATGGGTAAAAGTGAAAGCAACATATTTGTCTTGATGGCAACTAAAAACGTTCAAGCTGATTTGTACACAAGACCATTTGCTGCTTTACAGACAGTGACTTTAAAAATAAAGCCAACGTGTAAGCCACAGAAGGCCCAGCTTGAAGGTTGTTATCTTCACAGGGTTTCACAAAAAAGCGTTTTGTGATTGAAAACATGCAACAGTAAGCATGGAGTGTGCTAAACATACATTGACTATTGTCGATTAGTTTGTTTTTTACCAATGTAACAATGAACCAAATGCATATAGCTACTTAATTCACATATTACTATGTATTTGTATTTGTTAATAAAGTTAATACATTTTTGAGGGATTATGAGCCGAATCTGAACTTCAGGAAATCTGCATCAGAATGGCCTATAAATATTATTTAAAAAACCATAGCAGCACACATTTGTTTTTATGCAGCACAAACAGAAACAAAGCATGATGATTAAAAAGATTTTCACTTGGATGGGGGACCAAGTTCATGTAGGCATCTCTGATGGGCACCTTCAACAACCATTTGTGAGCATGTCCATTAAAATACACATTATTAGTCTTATTTTACATTACTTTTATGCTATATTTAGATGGAATCAACAATTGTTCAATGACACTTTATTTATTTATTTTTTGGTCAATCGATCTGTCAAGTCTGCTGGCTTCAGAAAACTAACTGACAATCTGAAAATGTACCCTCATAGTCTGCTGGGTCCAATTTTGTATTCACTATGGTATGGACCATTACTGGAGAGGTCAGATGCATATTTATTATTATTGTTATAATTTTTGGAACTGTGTTTTTTAGTTAAACTTTTTATAAGCATAGTATACACATAACATTTACATAAAATGTTTACATTCACAAAAAATGAACAAATAAAAACTTAACAGCTTAAATAATGCATAAAAAGTAGATAGATAAATCAATAATTAAAACTCAAATATTAACACAATAACTACAACAAAGCCCTTGACAGCATTTTAGAAATCAAGTAAATATGTTTCCATTAATGCCCAGGTCTGTTGGAAAATGTCTGATTTTAACAACAAATCTGAAGTCATTTTCTCAAATATATACAGTTGAAGTCAGAATCTTTAGCCCCCCTTTGTTTTTTTCTTTTTTAAATATATTTTTTTAATTGTCTATAGAACATACTATGGTTATACAATAACTTACCTAGTTACCCTACAGTATTCTGTCTAGTTAACCTAATTAACCTAGTTAAACCTTCAAATATCACTTTAAGTATAGAAGTGTCTTGAAAAATATCTAGTCAAATATTATGTGCTGTCATCATGGCAAAGATAAAATAAATCAGTTATTAGAAATGAGTTATTAAAACTATTATGTTTAAAAATGTGTTGAAAAACTTTTCCTATTGTTAAACAGAAATTGGGGGAAAAAATTAATAGGAGGGCTAATAATTCAGGGGGGCTAATCATTCTGGTTGCAGCTGTATATCTGATTCAGCCTCTGCGTCCATTCTGTTAGAGTAGGTCAGCATGCCTTCATCCAGTGTGTTTATCTTCCTAGCTGTTATTAATACTTATTTGTTACTATTATAAATTGTATTCTAGATACAGATCAGTTTCATCCTTCAGATAAATCCCCCAAATTATTTACATTTACATTTAGTCATTTAGCAGACGCTTTTATCCAAAGCGACTTACAAATGAGGACAAGGAAGCAATTTACACAACTATAAGAGCAACAATGAATAAGTGCTGTAGGCAAGTAGGAGTAGGCAAGTGGAGACTAAGGCAAGTGGAGACTAAAAAGTTGAGTTTTTAGTCGTTTCTTAAAGACAGCGAGTGACTCTGCTGTTCTGATGCAGTTATTTGCTTCCTGATGCTGAGTGTGATAGTAAGTTAATAGGTTGTGCATATGTCTAGTACCCAAAAATGTTACTGTGTTTCTGTTCTTACAATTAATTAGCCAGATGCCAAATCCAAAACCACTTACAGTACATTCATGTTTACTGTACTCCTCAGCTGTGTCTGCCAAATGGCTAAATATAAATGTAATGTACAGTTGAAGTCAGAATTATTAGCCCCCCTGTTTATTTTTTCCCCAATTTCTGTTTATCAGAGAGAAGATTTTTTTCAACACATTTCAAAACACAATAATTTTAATAACTCATCTCTAATAAAGTGACATTTAAAGGCTTAACTAGGTTAATTAGGTTAACTTGGCAGGTTAGGGTAATCAGGCAAGTTATTGTATAAACGATGTTTTATTCTGTAGACTATCGAAAAAAATAGCTTAAAGGGGCTAATAATTTTGTACTTAAAATAGTGTGTAAAAATGCTAAAACTGCTTTCAGTCTAGGAAAACAAATAAGACTTTCTCCAGAAGATAAAATATTATCAGACATACTGTGAAAAGTTCCTTGCTCGGTTAAACATCATTTGGAAAATATTTTAAAAAGATAAAACAATTCAACTAGGGGTTAATAATGCTGACTTCAACTGTAAATTAAATCAGTTTTTACATTATCATTCACTCAGTATTTAAAGTTGTCATTTATTCAGGAGCATTTGAGCATTTAAAGCAATTGCTTAATATTTGCTTCTTGATTAGTTAAAGACATATCCATGTAAAGTACTTTGTAAAAGATTGAACTTTTAAAATGTAGCCTGTGAAAAAGATTCAATAAAAATAACAATAACCAATTGTTAAGGTACAGTAAATTTCTTTACACACC